ACAATTTAAAAATTTTAATTATACAGTTAGGTACGAAAAGTACACTGAATTACATAGTGCTAATATAGAGCATAGGTATTGCTTTCGTACATTTTTAAATGAACTTAAAGAAACGATTAAAGTGTCACAATTTAACTTTTGCTTTCCATTTTGGTTTCTGTGTGAACTTTTATGTTCAAAGACTTAATGAATAGAGGCTTTTAGCGTTTGCACGATCTTAATGGTTGCAAATATTCATCTGCAATATTTGTAAACAATCCCTACCTGCTGTTTTCTATAATGGCTTTATCTGACACATACTTTAATATCTGGACGGTACCACACATAGTGAACTGATTTTTGACTTTATGCATCGGTGTTGCGAACTCCTGGTTCTTGGACTTTATTGACACTGACTTTTAACGTCTTCCTCACAAATTTGGTCAGGACCTGTTATAGCTTCAGGTCTCTTTCCGTGCATAATGCATATTTGGTTTATGAAAATTTCTAAAGAAGTCATTAAGATTCTTTGAATGTATATATTCTGTGACATCAATCAGACGAGTCAGTCCATGGACATACACATTTTCCTTTCTGTATATTACTGAAATATTGTCGGTAAAATGAAGTCGATGTTCAGTAAAATCTTAAAACTAATAGTAGTATTTTGAATTACGTAAGATGTAAACAGTTAGTTCTAAGAGATCGTTGGAGAAAAATATAGACAGGTTACTTAATTCACAATGAGTACGGTAAAATGTGTATACTTTCATTATATTTCCACTATTTGATATTGGTCTACATTTCTGTGTAAAAAACATGAAGGTTAAAGGGTTTGGTTTCCGGGAGGGTTTAGTCTGCAGTGTTTAATGTTATCGGTTTCATCCTGTGTTTCCATTAATCTGTCAAAACATTCTACAGATGATACATCTTAGGTAAATCAAATCCCTGTAATTCTACGAATAACACTTTATTATATCAACGGATAACCTTTGAAATGGAAGGCGACTAACATAGTGATGGACACCGTATAATTTAAGCACATTATACAAGGATGGTTTTCTCCCCAAAACTAGACCTTTCATTTGATCCAGTCTTTTGAATATTCTTACAGTACATTTTTATTATGCATAATCATATGAAAACTGCCTGTCGTTACTGACTGGTTAAGTCAACGGTCATTTGGGAAACGTCTAATTCTTTACTTGTAGACGCTTTTTGTTTACATAAATCTTCCGTTGTTGAAAATAAGGATAGATTTTCAGGTTGCTGTGCGGTTGTACAGTGAATAACTCGGTACCGTCAATTATGTACTTATTATTATTTTGGCGGCATACTCAGTGGCATCACCGGGCATTTTCGAATATCATTATGTGATTTTGTTAGATTTTTCCCACGTCAACTTTATTTCATAATTGTAGAAAATCACCTTTACGAAAGACCACCGACCATAATTTGCAAATTCACGCATATGGTTTGTATGTTGAGTGAAGGAGGCTTTTGATAGCAGCTAGTGATCATTTGAGACTTTCTCCATCCATCACAAAAATACTACACCCTTTCTTTTTCCTCTGATCTATATTTGATATAATCCACCTTTATGATTATATGAAGCTACAGTGAAGTCGTTTGACATTCCCTCCTGAACCTTCTTGAGCTAAGGCACATATGTTTCTAGTTTTCTCACTATTCTTCAGTTACCCAAACCAACTCCACTTTCTTATCTTTATCTGTTATAAAACCTACTACACAGTTCGCATTTGCATTGTTGTCCTGTAATCTATTAGGTCAGCTAATATGGAGACTGGGAAATTATGTTTATCAACTTCATAAATGTTCATAAAAAATCCTCAAGGACAGATATTTTCCTAACCAACGTATAAAATGCATTACTACTAAGTCCATATGAAGGTTTTTATACTTCTCGGGAATCCGTTAGCGCTAAAATACATTTTGATTGCTGACTTCTGGTCAACATTATTCGACAAATAATACACCTTTTCCATTTTTTTCACAAACCACTTCTTGGCTTTTCGTTTACTATTTATCTATTTATTTATAAACTCTGAAGAAATGGCTTATATTAAGTCACGAAACGTCGGAAATACTACCTTTCTACTCATTGGGAGGTAACAAAAATATGTTTATTATCTACTTCTTGGCTTTATTTTGTATCCCGTAAAGTTCCAAAACTAGCTGACTAACAGTTGTTAGCGGGATTCCCCATATAACATGTTAATTTGTGTAGTCGAGAAAAATCAGTTGGTCTCAATTGCTTTGTTTTTAGGACTAAAAAGCACCTTGGGGTATATTGAATTTTTTTCTAGTGGATAATATGGAGTCACTGGATGAGAAACACCAAGGTCAGGTCTAGTGTACTAGACAAAGATCGTTTTATGACGTTGTAGATCTTCGGCTCAAATGACTGGAACATGTGTTATATGTCGTCAGCCACTTCTTACCGTAACACACAGTCATATAGCTTAGGAGTGGGCTAAAAACAAGCTAGGTGCAGCCAAACCGAGATATAGCATCAGTTAATGAAGTCATTGGATGCTAATTTGAGCTTTGTTGTTAAGTGTAGACTACCTGATCATCTTAATTCCTACTAGTCTCATATGCCACAGACTAAAAGATCGCGGCCAAATTGTTTTGGCTAAAAAATAGTTTACGTAGTTCAAACGAAGGTAAATATACTTAGTTTTGTGAAGAAGTTTGAAATATTAACGTGAAATAGACAAATAAACTGTACACCACTAAGAGTTACGACGTCGGTAATTCGTCAAATCTACCACCAAATTATGGGTTTAAAATTGTTGTCAGTAGCTTTAATGATGAATAATTTGTACTTGGTGGTTGACTTTATACTCAGGTTCTCTAACATTATCTGTAATGATGAAATAAGCGTTCAAAACTAGTGTTATGCGTTTATCCAATTAAATTAGCTGTAATATATCCTTTTGGTGATATATGTGAGGTGTAAACGAATTCTCAGAAAGAATACAGAGACACGGGAAGCTATTACAAACCCACCTAAAACTATGTTCACTACTTATACTCTAGAGACTTCAAATATATATTTTCTAACAGGATATTTAGTATGATATGTGACAATGATGTGTAACAATAAGCAGCATGCAATCCGCCTGTTAGAACTCTTCAATAATGCTCATCCTAACATACAATTTACTGTGAAACACGGGTAGAATGACATGTTACACTTTCTTGATATTGCCATAAAACGTAGGGGAGACAGAACAGTTCAACGTTCGGTTTACCAGAAAGTACTTGGAATGGCCTTTACCTGAATTCCAATATATTTTGTCCAATCGGTTACAAGAAAGCATTGGTTAAAACACTTATAGGGTAGAAAGGATATGTACCACCGACAGACTGGAAGGAGGATTGATAAACGTTGAAAAATGCCTAAGATACAACTGCTGACCACGGAAATTTATTGACAAATATAAAAAACCTAATGAAGACAAGACGGAAGTGATTACGGTCAATAAAAAACCAATACCTACAAATCTCAACTTCAAAAGTGATGACGTCGCAAACACAATCAGCAAGAGGCTGAACACTGCATTAGCCAGAACTTACCCGGTAGTCAAACTATTAATTCTGTGTAAAACATGTCCAATAACTCAATCAAAGGTTTACAAGCACCCCTTCTATGTTACCGCCAACTGTATTTATACATTTACGTGTACCTGCAAAAGCAACTACATTGGCCGAACAGAAAGGAGGGCTTATCTTAGGTTTTTTGAGCATGTTCCAAAAGGCCTTAGAACAAAAAGAAAAATTTTAAACAGTGCAATCACCAAACATCTGGATACGGGACATTAAGTCGACACCTTGCCATCTTTCAGGGTGATCAGTAAGCAGCTAAACTCCAGTCTTCTTATGTTTGCTCAAACCGTTGCTATCAGGCGTCAAAAATCTGACTTATGTGTTCGAAAGGAGACGGTTATTAATCTTTCCTTGCCTTTGCGACAAATATTCCTTCGTTGCATCTTAAACTTTTTCCTTTAACTCTTTCTTGCATTTATTACATCATTGCGTTTTTATTTCAACTATCTTATTTTATTAACTGAGCTTTACTCATTTTATTTCTATCAGCGTTTACTCATTATGTAACCACTTGTTCCTGGCCGTTTGAACTGTTGTCACAATCAATGTTGTAGAATTTTCTTTTACATAAGGTATATATTTGCAATATTCAGTCTAATAAATTTATTTACACCCTTGTTATACTAATATGTCTTCAACATAACTTCTAACTAAACACTTTCATGTAAGTAATTTGAACCCATTTTGTAATTATGATTTTAAATATCACATTGTAAGCAGCTGATCAGAACCGACGAAATACAATGAATTCATGCTTTTCTTCTAGAATCTTTGTTCTTGTTCTTTTCAACATGTGAATGGATTATAAATAAATAATGCACATCCAAAAATCCCAAATTTTACTAAAATTTGTTATTAACGTAATAATAATGCAATTCTGGTGCCAAGCCTACCTTTGATACACGAGCACAGACTATGTGTGATAGAAATCCATTGAAAAATCAAATGATTTTTTCGTCAATATGTTTTCTGTAATGTGGACGTAAACAGTTCACTTTTATTAGAGTACAGGGAGTTCTCTTATGAACAAGTTAACGACAGGTTTGTGATTTTTTTTAAGATTTAATGTTATGTAACCTGTGCCTAAGTTGTGCGTAAACTTTAGAAAAATATATCAATCATATATTCCACGACTACTAAAATTTTTATTTTGATCTATTTAATGTATTGCATTTTGTAACTGTTTTATGTATATTACCTAATTTGCCTTTTTACGTTTTATTAGGTTCATTTGCATGAGATTTCATGTTTACTCAGAGAAGTAATGATATGTTTAGGCCAGTCTGCGAAATCGAATACATATTTCCTCATAATTTAATGTTCTAACGCTTTCCAAACAAGGAGGATGGTGTAATGCTACAATTATTTTAAAATCATCATCTGATCATATGCTGTATGGTATTTCAAGGAAATTGGTCTTAGTGTTTTTTGTTTTTACGGAATTTGTTGTACATGTCTTAAATCTAACGGTTAGTCATAATGCATCGATCCCGGCTACAACTGAATCAAAGAATTTGCGTGTGCTCTACCGTTTTTACAAGCCTGATAATCTTGATTTTGTGTATGTCGCAAGTGTGAATTCAATTAGACAATTTAGTGTCGATAAACTACAGCTTGTTGCAGAACGTATTACTGGTCCACATAACTTCTCCATCTATTGTCTATCGAATGGTGATAGCTGTGAAAAGTGTATGCATATAGATCGGTCATCGTTTCCCTTCGGTTATGGTGCTGATTTCTGTCTCCCCCATCCAACTAACAATTATGTCAAAGCATGGGGTACTTCAGGTTTTCCAAGCCCTGAAATACATAGTTTCAACTACTCTGAGTGGGATCAGGAATCTCATTTCGTAAATGATGACAGAATAACCTTCGAAGATGGCTTATATGTATGCAATACTGTCTTTCATGGATACTGTGAAAGGCTAGGTTTGATAAATGTCAGTCAAGAATCCCCATGGTCAATCGGTACAAGAAATCCACTGGTAGACAAGAAAAGTAAAAACCCACAAGAAATACCAGTTGTTGGATCTCTTCCCTATACACATTCTGTCCTAGTTGTTGGTTCAGAATATATTTATGTGGGCACAGAGCCTGATGGACTCCAAGAACACACGCTCATTACATTTGATCCACTAACTGTGCGACTAAAAAACTTTCACTTATGTAGTACTCAACCTAGCTTTGAAAGCAGAGCCCAGTTGTCAACAAATCCGAGCTTACGGATACAATACAAATCTGCTTTCCGATACAGATCAATGCCAACTAATTTGGAGTCCCAAGATCAACTGTTTAGACCTGCTTATGTATATTTCGTTCTTCAGCAGCCTGAAAGTTCACCTTTTTTCCGGTGGCAATCACGAATAGCTCGAGTGTGTGACGGAGATAAGTTTATTTCCTCTTACGTTGAGCTGAATATAGCATGTTTTGAGTGTATATTTGAAGATGATGAAAAAGTGAGTATTCATCAATTTTTTATATAAACGAAGTCATTTTTTGAAATGTATAACTCATCAGATTTTTATCAAAGTAATGTAAAATTTGGATAATGTCATACGAAGACGAAGATTATCAGAATTATGTGATATGTTAGCGCAATACACGACGAACAGTCTGATCATACATATAATCTGAAATTATTGTGCATTGACCTTAATAACCCGCAAAAATGATCGCTTAGAACGTACAATTGATCCTATATCCGGCAAGATATAAATAAAATCTTTGATGATCTAGGTTGTGACGTAGCATTTTCTGGAAAATAGAGTTAAGTACAGAAAAATTATTAACAAACAGAAATCCTTAAGGTAGAGGTCAATACTGTTGATGGTTACAAGCCTTGCAAAGTTCTCGATGTATAAAAGTAATCTAATCAGACTATCCGAATGGGCTCATTTTACACTACTATAAACTAATGTTAAAATTTGGTTACTAAACTCATATAGGTCCCCACAATGAATAGTTTTGAACAGTAGGTTGCATGATTCTATCATCTGTTTTACTTTTTCATTCTGTATCTCCCAACAAAGTCTGTTAATTAGCTAGATCATAAGTAGATATATTTCATTCTTTGAATTTCAAATCTATCTGCTTTGTATGATTTAACGATTGATAACTGATAGAAGTTGACCGCTTTCAAATTTTTAACTGAACTGTCAATTTTGGGAATATAGGTATACTTAAAAAATTGGTAACCTGTTGATAGTCTCATTTTAAATGGTCAGTGCACTCTTAATGACCTACTGCAGTATTGATTTTCCCCAAATAAATATGTTGGTTGCTTCAGTTGATTGAGCGGTATCGTTTTTGGTCATATTTCGTAACCAAAAAGGGAAAGATTTGTCATTCCTACGATTCAGAACAGAATGTAATGACTATGTCGTTTGTATTTGCTTTATTTGATTGTCTTAGCAGTTCCCAGTCGTCTCCTACTTCTACCAGAATAGTATACCTAAACTCTCTGTAACTAAGTGGATAACACGTTAACATTCGAAACGAAAGTTACTGGATCTGAATTTCAGAGTGGTAATCAACTTTGAGATGCAGCTACACCCAGCTGACGACTCTCAAATAGGACGAAATACGAATCCTGGATACCTGATAATATTTTAAACCAATGATTTGGATGATATTAGTTACTCAGTTCAGTGAGTTATGATGAATCACTTGATCTAAGCCTGGTAAAATATCCTAAATTCCACGGCATCGCATCATAAACAGTCTACTTTTCCAAATTTTCCATCTAGTCTCTGTGGTGATAAGCAACACTTGGTATATAAGCCCCTGTAATATCCATAAAATGTCTTAATTACCACAGCAAAGGTTGGAATATGACACTAATTGAGTGATGGTCTCCATTATTCCAAACTCACGTAAGAGCGCAACATTAAATTATTGGTATTATCACACGAAAATTATTATTATTATTATTATTATTATTATTATTATTATTAAATGCTGTGCACACGATGATAATTTCGCATATTACTTTCAATTACTGTCATTTTGGATAAGCTAGGTTTCATAAACATGGTACGAAACTATATGAAAGAAAGCAATGTACATGAGGTCTCTCATGGTCGTCAGGCTAGCGTTGTAACGTCACAGTGACTCAGACCGACATATACCTTACTGGCTTTCAATATTAAAAGATTAACCTTCTCTACCATACAGCTATTGAAAGAAAGTACAACATCACTAAGTATACTAAGTGAATAATTTCTTGTATCACATAGTTGTTTACAATTAAAATAGCTTTACAACTTCCAGTTCTTTAACAATTAGTCAGTAATCAGTTCATCTCTTACTTAGAGGGGAAGTCATTACTACTTATAGTTTAACATTTTCAAATATTTTCATCTTTATTCTTTTGAAATTATTATAACTTTTTGTATAAAATCACACTTTCATTTGATTCGCTTATTTTGAACCTACGTGAACTAGTCACGTGAAACCATTTAGAGTTGTTGTTTGCTTTGAACGAATTGATTTGCTTATAAATCATACCTGTGCCAAATCGATTTTGTCAAAATTGATTGCTTATTCTAAGATAGACATATCTTCATCTAGCGTTTATATTCGTCAATTAATCAAAACGTACCCATGTCAACACATAATCTCATGGTTTTGTAATAATATTTAATAAGTGAGCTTAGTTAAAACGATCATTTTTTGTTCACTGACCCAGACTTTGACTTGACGTTGAAGTGATTTTATTTTGACTCACTATAATGTCTGCATAAATTATGGGTTGAACATTCTTTAATAAAACTGATCGTTTGCTCTCCTATTCTAATAATTTTCACTCTAATGGAAGATTCATGAAGTAATTCTTGGTCACAGTCATCTGTTATTTCTTTGTTTTGGTACTGAATACCGTCTGTTGAAAAATTTCGTATCGAAAATCTCTGTATCTGAAGTTGATAGTTCGTCCATTTTCTATATTAGTCATTGATTATTTCAAGATTTGACAAGTTGTTTGTAAACAACTTCAATTTAAAATGCAAAGATGATGTATTATTACAGAACACTAATTCTCACTGATCCAATCGAAACTATCAAGATTTGTCGTATCTGTATTTCTCCTACAGAGTCCGTCAGGAAACTGTGTTGTATTCTCACAGTTGTATAATTACTATTTCAAAGGTATCACTGCATTGGAAATGTATTTTGATAATAAAAGAGAAGTTTTACTTATTAAAACTTGTACCATTTGCCAGTAAATGCATCTTAATTCAACTTACATTTTCTGATGAATTTTATCAGTTATCTTGGAAAATTGTAATGTAAGTCTTTATTCCAAATATTGAAACATCCAACTGGCTATAATAAACTTGCTGTACGCAGAAATTAAACTTGACCCTAAATATATGGTCAAACAACGGTTTTTCATTGTTATAAACTTTAAAATCCGAAATTAATTGCATAGTTGAGAAATTTCAAGAAAATTATAAAGTTGTTACTTACTTGGGTAACAAAAATCTACTTATTTCCTTGACATTTCACTGCAGTGGTTTTTATAGGAAAAACTGGTTTATCTTATAATTAATGCATAATTTCATATAACAAGCTTGACCAAGTTACAAAATCAGGATTTTGTCTGTTTTTCACGAAAACTGACAAATTTTTAATTGTAGTCATATTACTCAACATCATCTCTTCGGACAGTACTTCAAAACTTGTTCAATAAATTCTATAATTAAAACATTTCGTGTGTTAAGTGACATTAGGTAACTAATTATATCTTAATATAACTTTAAGGTCAATTGGTAGGCTAACAACCTGTTAGCATAGGCCTCTCTAAGTACATTTATTTATTTTAAAAATTAAGCATTTAGTCAAGGATAATGTTTACAACAGTTCTCCATAACAAATACGGTGAAGTACTGAAATGTTAGAGATTCTTTCACCTATGTGGATGCTTTTAATTGTGTTATGTTCTCTAAGTTGATGACTTTTTCAAGGACAAAAATACAAGAAAGGTTTTTAGAACAGCTCTTGCTTTTTTTATTAAAGACAAGTTTGTGAATAACACTGTTGGTTATATAATGTTTTCCAAATTTTGAGACAAATTATAATACTGTAGTTTTATTAAAAAATGAGTTCAATCAACCAATAAGAGACAAGAATAAAAACAAACAGCCCTGATAGTTGCTGAATGAAACGAGTAATTTCTAAACGTATAATAATTAATTTTTATAACTCAATGTAATCTATTTTTTTATGTTATAGATGTTTAACGCATTACATTTCTCTTCACGTGGTACTGTTGGGAAGCAGTTAGCTAGAGAATTATTAGAAAACTTTCAGTCCCAGTATGATGATAATTTGTATTCTAGAATTGATATAACTACTAATGATCATTCAGAAGTTCTTATTGTAGCGTTTGCTTCACAACCTATTGACCCTTTATATTACTGGTCTACACGCAATGTTAGTCCAGATATTGATTTGCCGAATGTTCAATACAATCCTGATTCATCATATCGACATGGATCAATTTTGTTGCCTGGTTCTGCTATCTCCTTATTTTCTATGACACAGGTACAATTTAAACCATTTTGATCTTTATGTACATCGTTTTCATAAAAACAAAATAACTGATGCTTCGTTTTTACTTAATTATTCGTAATCTTTCGAATTAATGTTCTGATATAGAAATATCTCTTGCTTTTTTTCGAATTTTTATGAAAACGTATACCTAGAATAACATTTTTTTTCTGATAATTCGTAGTCGCCCATACTAATAAACGACAGATAATCATTTGTAATGGGAGTCCGGTATTGTGTGTCTTTCAACATCCCAATAACCAAGTTCAAATTATCGTACTAGTGCTTTTAATGCACCATTGTTCTATGAGGACAAGCAAACTGGAGAAGCATGATTCAAGTCCATGGCCTGACATTTGAAAGGTGGATACTGAAATACATAATCTACAGTTCCATTCTCTTTATGTCTATTTCTTGTATCTATTTAATATTGCATACAATTATTAGACCTTGTTCTAAAAACGGAATAAAACATTCAGAATGATTGATTTAATATTAAAATTTTCCGGACAACAATTTATATAAAAATATTCATATGTATTTCGTTTTACTGAAATTCATTACACTGATCAAACACGGAAACGGAGACTAGTAATCAATATCGTCATTATTAGTAATTGTCCACCATTTCAAGTCGAAAGAAATCTTATAAAAGATTATTGGGTGTAGAGACTTTTGGAAGAAATTGCGAACCTATTTTAAACCATATAGTTTAGGGTTTTAAACCTATCAAATATTTAAACTTTGATCAACGGAGTTGTTTTCAATATGATCATATTCCGTAAAAGTTCTAGCTTCTGAAAAAATACAACTCCGATTGGTGTTGAAAAACATCCTTCAATATTTGTTATGACAAAATACCACAAGTAGTTACTTAGGTCATTTTATCATAGTTTGTTCTTCATTTTCTCTTCAAATAACCTCTTCTACTCATCAGTATGTTGCTATATATAGTCCGGTTGAAATTTTGTCCAAATGCATATAAATCATTGTTTATTTAAGAAGAAATTAAAGATGCTTTTTTCCTTTATAATGTAGATTAATGCCAAATTTGATCGTGTCGTTATGAATTGTTTGGACGGCATTGGAATGCATGGACCGTCACATTTTCTACATTCTGGAAGTAGCGGAAATTCTAGATGTGTTAAAGATGATTATTCTGTAAGTAATAATATTTATTTTCCCCTTAGTTTCTGTTTGTGATATAAATTTGCTTTTTCATATATATAAATGGGTAATTTGGAAGGATAATAACTATTTTATTTTGGTATCGTTCATTGTTTTAAATTTTTTATGCAGAGGAATTTGATCCATGATTGTCCTAGTAGTCGTCAACTCAATCAGTTTATTACAGGGAATGATCCAGACGATGATATCTATTCTCCAGCATTGTTGTACTTCAAATCTAATGTTACTGGTATGGCAATAACCGCTGTATCACAGGAATTCACAGTTGCAATATTTACAACAGATGATGGCTATCTATACAAGGTATTTACTTGTTCGTGTGTATTATTCAACATTGGCGGCATTTTGATTAGGTGATCTGTATTTGTTTAGTAGTGGTTAATCGTTAATCTTGACACTGCTTTCATCATTAATTTATCATTTTCAAAAATTTAATTTCCTTGTGTACAGATTGTTATAATAATAATAATAATAATAATAATAATAAACGCTTAGATCAATACAATATGTATATTGTTGTAGCGAAAAAACTACTGGGAACCTAAATATCCAGTATATCAAGGTGTGAATTTTCAAGAAAGTATTTTTTCAGCAATTATTGTTTACCATTTATCTTCTTCCAAAAAACGTTTCGACTAGTTCTCCGAGTTGGACATTTTCTGTCACAGTATATTAAATACATGGACTCCTATGTAGGCGCCTCTTAGTTCATAAGATATCCGTTTGCCAACCAAATGACAAGTTTGCTGCGCAGCAGTTCTCCCCGTTCTACTTTGTGGTTGTGGAACATGGCTGTCAAGAATAGAAGATATTCCTAGTTTATTGGGATTAGGCTTGAAAATTTGGTCTCGGTGTGCTAATGGAATATGTCGACTTGAACCTATATACATACATACTAGGTTCTACGTTGTGGCTGACTGAACCAAAAAGTCTTCAGGACTCAGGTCCTTCTCTGTTTCATTTCACACTTTACTAAAATTGTATCTGCAGATGGAATTTTGGAATTCAGAATAGTCCGGACAGTAAAACTGAATTCACCAACGCTAAAGATCGACGGTCGTCCTGGCTTTTCGTGATCCATGCATTCTTTACGAATATCACTAAGTTCCGTGATGCTCCTTAAAGAAAGTGTCATTTCCATAGGTATATATATATATATATATATATATATATATATATATATATATATATATATATATATATATATATATATAAATTCATAAACTATTCCAGTATGTTCAACTAATTTGTGTGAATATTAGCTAACAACATAAATATTTCACTTTTTATCAAGCAATTCTCTTGAAGGCTTATTTTACATTTGATAGTCATGCAATAGTTTCAAAATGTAAAACAGATATTGCTGTGACCACATTTCCAATGTTGTTGTTTGTTCAGTAGTTCAAATTAATGCAAAATCGTCACATTGAGTCAGTCGACGATTATTTTCTCCTACTGTCATGCTTTTCACTCTGGATGACTTATTGTTTCCATCGGTGGTATTTGTCATGAACCGACCTCAACTAAAGTACCATTCAAGACCAGATACTGAACAGTCGCTTTTTCCTTCTATAGGAGTCCTCGAAAGTGTCATTTACGACCCGAGGGGATTAAACCCAGAACCATCAGTGACTGTTTATCTACTAAGTCATTAAGTTAGCATACGATGATACATATTCCCAACTCCCATTAATTTGTGATATCTCGTAATAATTATTCAACTCAGTTGGTGTTAACTTTTCTATTCCCTGCACATATTTTTGGTTGCAAGTTTATTGCATAGGAACATCAATGACTTATTTTATTGCTATTATTTAAATAATACTAGCTTAACTTATTTAAGTCTTAGTATCTCCCTTATGGCGAAATTTCTTTTCTGATTTCCTTTTGATCCATAGTATGAGCTTCTTGGTCTTCGCAAAGTACATCTTTTAGGATCTTTACAACTGGTTACAAATGGCCAACCAATAACAAGCCTAGCATTGGACCACACTGGGACAATAGCTTTTGCGACATCATTTCAAAAGGTTATTTCATCCGATCAAATTTCCTTAACTCATTTTATTTAGTATTTCATGTTAAACGTATGATGTTATCAGTTTTACAGTTTATTATTTTGATTACTAGCTTACTTGCTTGATAAATAACGCATTATTAAAATATGGTATATTGCTATATTTGTTTACTTATTCCTTAGGTAACTTCATTTTGACTATTGTTAATACTACTGTGATTTACTAACTATATATACACAGAAACATTAATTAATATTTGTGCCTTGTTAAAGTAAATAAATTATTTGATGCCATATCATTAGATGAAATATTTTAAATATTTCGATTTTGGTCTTTAAAAACCTAAAGCGAACTTCTTTACTATAGGGATTTATGAACATTATCGATTTTCATAATTTATATCGTAGACTGATCTTACTTAGGACACTATTAAGAACCACCTAGATCGTCTCAGTATGAGACTCCTCAGTAGAGCGCACCTACGACCTCGCCGGGGGTTAAACCCAAGAATATCATGTCGCGCTACGGGTTTTGAACCCTTAAATCACTAAGTCATCATCCATTAGTGTACTTGTATGACTTCAATGATTTCGCAACATTATGCAACCATCTTTCGATGACATTGATGTGTAGCTCTTTCACACTATCGTTTTTCTTCAATTTAATGAACAAGGTGGTTAGTATTTCTTGGATTATTCAAGATCTCTATCTGATAAGATAAATAAGGTCTCATTTCTGTTCAACATGGTCCATCCTGAATATGGTTTACAAACAGACAAAAATCACAATTAACATCTAAGGGTGTTATGGTAAAAACTGGAATTAAAAATTATAAAAAATATATTAGACTAATGTTTTAAGTAACAATGAATTACTTAACATATTCGCCTTTTCAAAGAGAACACTTTGTGATAGTTTTTCAGCACTAGCTTTTTATTTGTTAATCGAGGCGTTTAATTGAAGATTTTTCATAAATTATATGCTTCTTGTGATATGATCCATCTTTTTTCAAGTTGACAAAAATTTCACTTTTATTTAGTGTACAATTAAAGTGTAACTTATTCGGAAATCTGGTTTCGTGATTTCGATTTTTGAGGAAAATAGGGGTTAAATTCATTTCGACATTAAACAGACTACAACTTCATGTACACCTTATTTAAATGTGATACCTATAATTATTATGCTGTTTATTTATTACTAAACAGCGTGTTAAAGTTGTTTCCTTATCCAGGTTTATTTAAGTTGATTATTTTCAATATTATATTTTTAGGTTTTTCGCATTGAGTTATTCAACTGTTCAGCGTACTTAACATGTCAGTCATGTTTAAAGGCTCGTGATCCTTATTGTGGTTGGTGTATAGCAGAAGGTCGTTGTTTACTGTTTCACCAATGTCCTTTAGCAATGTCTCGTGTAAAAACACTTAATGATCTCAAAAAGAAACGATCTCCAAACAGGTATGCTGGTAGCGAATATTCCGCATTGGATCGAGTTTATTGGTTACACTATAATACCTCTACCAATAAGTAAGTTATTTCTTCATGTAACAATCATTACAACTCTCTTGCTTTCCCTTTCTCTCTCTCTCTCTCTCTCTCTCTCTCTCTTTCTATATATATATATATATATATATATATATATATATATATATATATATATATATATATATATATATATAAAATTAGTTATGCCGTATGATAAAAACTGATCATTTCTTTGAAATTCAACTGGTTAGTTTCCGTTTCAGAAATTTTAGGAAATCTACCTCGGTTTCATCATTTAAATCTTGTAATTCTTATTCATACAACTGAGTACTGCTACGAGTATGAAACCAGTTATTACTTCACGGTTTCCCACATCCTGGAAGAATACTTCATGAGTTATCTAAAAAAAATCTGGGTTAATGATGATCTTGACTACCTAAGAGCGTGACCTCAAAGCCCAAAGGACAGCTACGTGAAGTCGGTTATATACAGCGTTTTTGATTAGTTTTAGACGATCTAGCTCCCTACTCTATGATCTTATCCTCGGAGACAAAAATCCGTAGAGCAAGGAGACGTGAACTACCCTTAAGGTTGGTCTTTTCTAGCCTCTTTTTTCTATTATAAGTAGGCAGCATCGTTGCGGATATTGGTTGTCTGAGGAAAACACTTTAATACTGTCACAGCCCTATGCAGTCCGCAGTACAATTTCAACCTCAGACCACGAGTTTGCTGCTTTTAGTCATATCGCTTTCCAACTGACCTAGTTGACGCTATAAGATCTAAATGAACAACTGCTCCAGTTAATATACTTCAACTTTGTCATCATGATATGGAATCCTGACCACCTTGTCAAGGTAGGAGCTACAGTTGGGATTCATATAAAAGTTATAAACTACCTTTATTATTTTTGTGTATTGCTATCACTAGTTTGAATCACGTCACGTTTAATCCTTATTTCTTTTGTATTGTCTTGTTGAAATATTCGATTATAGAATATCGGTTCATATGTTAATTGCATATCATTGTATATAATGAAATAAATCATCAATAAGTCCACATTATTAACTGATTATCTGAAACTATTGGATTCATCCATAAAACAATATAAGCACTAACTAATTTCACCAAAAATGCACAATAAGTATGGAGCAGTTTGCTTTGAAGAACCAGTAGACTCCTAAGATTATGAAACGCTAATTAATATAAACGTTTTCTCGTACTGGTTAAAGCGCTAGACATTCTGAGTTGGTGGATATGGAGGATCCACCTAGGGGATATATATATATATATATAAGGACGAATCGCCAATTCATGCTTCTTGATGATGTGTAAATTTGTAATTCAAACGTTTTTCACGTGCAAAATTGCAACAATTCTTTGTCAATAACTGAGAAAGTTTAGTTCTGCAAAATGTTACCATTGTAAAGGAGGTCATTAGTAGGAAGAATCTATATTGTGAGAAGTTACAATGTACTTTCATAATACATATACATAACATTTAGTCATCCATTTGCATCTTTTAGTGTGTTTCGCAATCTGAACTGTCTTCTCGTCTGGTTTTCAAGTGTCCTTCCTACACCGTGCTCTTGCTGTACTGAAAATCTCACTGTTACAGCTTTGACCTCATGTTCTGCTACATAATATTTTCAAACAATCTTGTAGGTAGTGTCCACCACACTAGTCTAATGACAGATTTAGACTAACTTTCCATACTTCCACATACACACAGATACTGTTGCTGAATTAACTTATCTTGATTATAATTTCAGAAAATTTCTAAGTAACATAAATAAAAACAAATTGACTCAAACTGAAGACATATTGTCTAAACATTTCGTAGATGTGCTTAAAACAGTTTATGTCTTAGATAATCCAATGACAAAGTGATGTTTACTAGAAGTATGTGATACATACTGGCCTTAATATGTTTCGTAAAGTGATCGCACATCAACTTAGATATTCAACTATGAGAAATGAGAGTCAAACTAAAATATAAGGAAAAGTGAAGATAATAAGGAGAAAACTTATAAATCACACCATTTTGAATATTAACATCAAATCAATATTACCAGGGTCGGTTTGATAGTGCAAGTATACATTATTCTGTATAGCCAAAGGGGTTGAGTTGTTGTATTACTAAAGCTTCAACGAACCTAAGCATTCGCTCTAGTCAAATTTGATACTAAATAAGGAAGCGTGGGTTAAAATCGGCCTAACGGCCGATTTAGTTATATGGGAATGAAGGAAGATAGGCTTCTGTCGTCTGTTCCTGTTGGAGCATTGAACTTTGTTTTTGTAGCCATTTAAGTACATATTTAACCAGCTTTATTTGCAAGTCATGATTACCTCGTAATATGTATGTATGTCTACATACATGTAAATTGGTAAACACAACGGGATATAACGCTATCACTTAAATACTACGTGATTATTGTTTTTCCAATAATAATGGCCTTGACCGAATAGTACATGCTACTGATGACTAGTATGAGCCGTCGTTAGGGCACAATGCTCTTCGACTTACATTTGAATGATGGAGTAATGCAAATATTCTTTTTAGATGTCAGAAGCAAAGTGGGTCTTTAAATATTACTTCGGCTTTTTCATCTGTTCATAAATTTCAAAAAAATTCCATTTAACAACTTCGCTTCAGACTTAACTTTAAGGCTAAATCCAGTAGATTTACTAAGTACTATTTCTAACATTTCTATTTTGCTTTCATTCAGAATAATATTTTTTTAATTGTCCATGATTATTGCATGATGCAAGGATGTATATAGATTCTGATTTATGTGGCTGTTGCCCGTTTTATATTTATAACAAATGGTCAATCATTAACATCTTCAGTCATCAAATGATGACCACTTTTCCCTATATGCTGTCGTGGAAAAAATACGTTTAAGGCAGTTATATAACCTGCATTCTTAACATGACTTTAATTTTAAATGTTGTACTGTTTTTCAGATAGTTTTTTTTTAAACTTTTTTTTTGTCTTTGTTACTATTTTTGTTTGCATAAGTAACTTGTTGAAATACCCTGTGCTGAGAATTCTATATTGTACCAAAATATAATATTGAATAAAGCCATTAATAATAATAATAATAACAATAATAATAATAATTATTATTATTATTATTATTTCTTGTGAGCGTCTTCCGAATTCCTTGAATGGAGTTATTTTTTATTTATTTCACCACAGATGCCCAGTAATTAGACAAGTTAGTCCGCCTGGTATTCAAATAAGTATAACCCCAACGGTTACTTATGCAAAGGAGAACAGTCAATATTATCAGCAAAACATAATTCTGAGCTTGGATTCATTTCTTTCACAGAACCTCCCTAATTCTGACTTTCCAGAAGAATCTCTTTCCAGAAATCAACCTCATCAAATAAATTCCTTTGACGATTTCGGGAATTCCCATCATCCATCATTGGATAAAAGTAGTATTGCTACGAGCTCTCAGCTGTTTTGCAGTTTTCGAGAAGCACCAACATCAGTTCTTCAAATGGAATCCTTGATCTCTGGAACTATTTCTAATTTTGATTTAAATAAAATTTTGTTGAATGTTACACGTACACCACTTCTCACTAGAACTGTTGCCAAGTTGTTTTACTCGTCTGGAAAACCTATAGAAGCTCACTGCTTGTCTCCAGCCACAACACGATTACCTCAACTTAAGGATGATAAAGGTAAGTGAAAAACGTTTTAAAGCTACGATTGCTGTAATTTTGGTATCATGATCGGACAATTCCCTAAAAGTCCTGAAACTTCTCTGTTTTATGCAGTTTCGGATAACTGAATGGTGAAATAAAGTTAATTTGCTAAATATCATTTTGGTTTGGGATAAGTACGCTAGTATATTTAAATGTTCTGACTCATAATGATTTAACATACTTGAGGCCAGATTCGAATAAGGCAAGAAAAATTGAGCGGATTCGGACATCGCTTAGGGTAAACTCATCATCATCAAGCTCAGCAAGAAAACAATGGTGATCACCATCTCAAACTAGTCATATTATCTAACCTGAAAGTGAAATTTTGCCCCGTCTAACCAAACAAGTGCACCATTAAAGTCTGTTTACTTGAACTCAGGGAATCGTGTAGTGAACTACGTAAAATTCTTATCTTGTAAAACATTGGATAGTGTTCATCTGAGATGTCCACTACCATGGATCTAATCGAAAGTTTTTGTAACATCAGAGATAAAAGTAACTCCATTCACTGATGAATTCGGAAATTCATCTTCTCTTTAGATATATTTTTTTGTTAATGTATATTATTCTTTTCAAACTATAGTTTATAATGTATAATGCATAAAAACGGTTCTATTCTTTGTCTTCTTTTAAACTTTGAATACCTTTCATATTTCTGTTGCCTATTCATTCACGTTCCTGTTTGTTTATTTTTACGTTTCATTGTTATTAATCATTTCGGTGTGTTATTCCAAGTGTAATAGCTTAATGCATTTAAGAATTGTTTAATATTTCACATTATTAATCTTCTTACAAGAATATATTCATAAGTGTACTTTCTTACCAGAAAAATAACCATGTTTAGGATTTAATCTTCGTTTGTCTGTTTATCACTATAGTAGAGCTCCAAAGTGTTTGTATGAGTGTTTCAACTATTTCTACCTAATCTGTATACATTGAAGTTTTCAAACATATACATAAGGAATTAGATGGCACTTAATAGATTTTTATCCAAAAGCTCTCATCCCTACTAAAGCAATATTAAGAAAGTTCTCGTTGATATCCTTTGTTGTTAGGGTGAAGTGTATGAGTATTATTTCTACATTGTCTGTATTTTCAAAAGAAAATATCCCTGTACTACTGATGTTATTAATGACAATATGGGTGAACCTGACCACAAATATTTTATTTGAGTAGTTGCCTAATTTGTATCATTTTTTAGATCAGTCGTAATAGTTCATATTAATTTAAAGTTAACCTGATTGACCATTTTGTTTGAAATATTTTCCACTTACAGCTTCTGTACCTTTGTTATTATGGTTAGAAAAAGTAAGAACAACTGATGTAGATCCTGATAATGTTGGTGCACTTGCACCTGCTTTATTTGCTATTTATAATTGTTCTCAACTTAAAGATTGTCAGTCTTGTACACGAAGTCGTTTTGTATGCGCTTGGTGTTTATTTGAAGATCAATGTGTCTCCGTTTTTCCAACATTATCACCAGATGGACAAATAACAAATAGTGTGTGTAAAGATTCTTCTCATCTTTACTCTAAATCTTATGAACAAATTAATCCTCCATTTGGTATTATTCCTCCTGGTCATGTAAGTAAATGGCCAAAATTTATTCATAGTTCCTAATGTTTGTTTGCAACGATATTCACATATATGTATCATGTTTAAAATGCCTAATTATCCACTCAAATCACGTATTCGTAAATTCAAAACCAACTTCATAGCACACTTTTTGAGCTACGTAACAAGTTACAGATTCTCTAATAAACAAACGCAAATAGTTAGAACTGTGCTAAGCGAATATATATAATAAAATAGCACTATATACCTTGATAACATTTGTTTAAATCTTATTATTTTCTTTACTTCTCACATCATTTGTGGAAGTTGGTTTGGATTTTCTTGTATGATTTTCTTAAAGTAAATATAACTATATTATTGAATGAATAAGTCAAGAATTATTCGGGAAATTCACATTTATGTTTATTGGTTAACAAAGGCTTAATGGGAATCAAAATGCTTTTAAATTCTATGAGTTCTAAGCCATCTGTACGCCTAATATCATTAATTAATGGGTTATTTAGGTTGATTTCATCACCTTTCCAGCTCAGACTACTATGTATTGTTATTTCCTACGTGATCCGAAAATCCCAATGTGATAACATAGAAGATTCACAACGGAACTTCATACTGTCATCAACAATCGTTTTAACCCAGTCCCCAACAATTGAGGAAACAAAAAAACGAAGACATTTTCCTAACAATAACCAGTGATAAAGGTGTCAGTATTTCTAAAAAAATACCGATATATTTTTAAGACTCAACCAATAATAGTGTCTGTCTCAGGACTACAGATTCAACCTTATGCACGTTATTTAAAAGTTCCAGAATCTTTATAGAATAACTTTTCTCTCATTCTGATCGAATTTCAGGGAAACACTGTACTTCTCAACATTATTTTGCTAGTTAAAATTTAATTGGCACTTGTTTATTCCCTGTTATTCTCGTAACTTTATCACTTCTTGGATTTGCAATAGGCTGACGACTGTCCAAGTTTCAAGGGATCTCCCCAAAGAATCACATTGACTAGTGGTTCATCGCTTACTGTTAACTTCTATGTTTCGAATGTTCAGGTATGTAAATTGTTTCTCACTTGTATGTGGTTAGTCTTAATGATCAGTGTTACTTTATCAAGATTGTAATCGTTTTCTGCATCACATCATAGAACACTTTATACATGCTTTAAATGATAATTCATTGGACTGTTATCAACTGTTTTTATTTTTAATTACAATTGCCCAGCTCCACTGCTGTTATTTTATTTTGAGCTATGAATTATTGTTTCCTTGTTACTAACCTTAAAATAATAAGAACTAAAAAATTTATTCATTCTATTGCATTAAGAACCTGTGATCATAACTTTCAGTGTATTTGGTTACTTTTATCGGTTGCGTTCAATTGCTTAGGAGATATTTAATTTTATTAACTATTTTGGTTATTACATCTCCGATCTTGTTGGTAATTGTTTTACTTTCTAAGATAATATAAATCCATTTGGGAATATAAATTAAAGATTTTATTCTGTCAACTGGATAAAAAGTATAGGTCAAACAATGAAAATAGTCAACAAGTTTACAAAGAGAACATTTTTTTATACTAATGATCAATGGCTGTTAAGCTAGACCAATGTTTATGAAATATTATGCCTCAGATAATTTTATTGTAATGACCGCAAACATTTGTGTCTATATGAGGCATTCTATTCACAGTTGTTAGCTACTTAGTACCATCTTGCTAAGCTTCAAAACCTGTTCAATTAATAAAATTCGATAAATATTTTGTACCATATTTGTAATATTAGTTTTAATTTCGATTGGTTTTTGTGAAGGTAAATAGTTGTTTCACCAAAATCTGATTCAGTTTTGATCAGAAATAAACAGTAATATAATACACACTCGTTCTGATGAAATATTAACTGTGTCACTGATATACCTTTTAACAGTATAAATTAATAAATCTTCCCTGCTTCCTGGTTTATTGAATTAGCCTGTAATAATGTTTTCTAGGATTTATAATATTTTTATTCCAATCTCTAAGATACTCTGATCTTGTTAATTATAAATGTTAGTTCTCTACTTTAATGTTCAATCTATTAAAAGAAGCACATCATTTTTAAAAACAAATATTAACTAATTACTGGTAATTAACTTAAACGTATTTAGCAATGTCTTTTATGTTAATACCTAATTTTCGTTTATGTCATCAAATTATAATTCTCTTATAGAAACAACAAATTGTTGGATTTAGTTGCTCAGAAAACTGTACAAATCAACACGTTCGTGCTTCATTTAATCCATCTAATTCAACCGTGTTCTGTCATATAGAAGTGGTATGATTAATTTATTTTTTGTCTTTTATAGCAAATTTTTTTATCAAATTACAAATACAGTGTATACTGTAAACATTTTAAAGACTTTTTTTCGTACAGCAAAAAGATTTTTATTTAGATAGCTTCATAGTACTACTAAATTTTTTTATCGATGGGCATTTAAATGGACGAATTAATTATCATCCTTAATCGAACTGCATAAAATTTTAGATCCTTACTTTGTTCAATTCCACTGTATAGATAATATTCTGTTGATTATTAATCCAATTGAACTCGTTGACAGCTTAATGTTTATTAAACATTTTAATTTAATTTATCGATGTATGTTTTGACGGTTTTTCTTTTGGTGGTATTATCAAGCATCATTTGTTTTTATCTTTCATTCTCAGTGAAGTCAGTTTGATATTAACAAAGTGGATTATCAAGTTATTTTCCATAGTGTAGATGTTTGATCAATGGAATTGAGATAAATCAAAGAGTGAGTGAGAAAAGGCATTTAAAAATCCTCGTTTATTTGACATCAACAATTTATTTGGCATTTAATTACAAATACGGCTGTGAAGCTTCAGTAATTAGTATCGTCAGAAAGAATATCTCTTTGAATTACTTTAGTATTTTTTTAATATCACAATGAGTTCGCGTTATGATTGAGTTAATAGCTAAATAATTTTCCGTTACGCACCTTATTTCTAGTAAAATATCCAGTTGTAAATAATCTTGGTTGATTAAGTGATGTCCTGTTCTCATGAGTTTGTCCTTACTGTGTTATACTACCCTGTTAAAAGTACATTATTTAACAAAACTTAATACAATACAACAAATGGACCTATTTTCATGTATTACACTAGATATATTTAACCAATTTGTTTTTTTACCTACTTCAGTGTAGTTCCGTTGCTTGTTTTTGCGATAATGCAAACTTATTACTCTACTATTTGAATATGAGATACAATCTTCATTTCACCATATTCTCTGTACTACCCACCCTTTTATTATCAACACTTAACTGTATTTTATACTTTGTCCAAATTTTGTAATCTACCAATCATTAGATGAATCTGACCGAACACTTAAGTACTCGTCTGCTAAGTAACAATGATATTCAACGATCACATGATACAGCTGTAATTTGTGGCTTAGATCTTTATTGGCACGGATTGAACAGTCGTGATGCAAAAGGCCATCGTATGGTTAACGAAGATCAAGTTCAAGGTCAGTTACTTTGTTTTATTGGTTTTAAAACATTGTTGATTAAAACAGCGCACAGGGTAAAATCCATACCGAAATTCTGTGTGGTTTGTTTTGGGTAATTAATTTCTTAATTATTTCATGGCCATAGATTTGTTCGTATCCATTTTCTGGGTCATATTTCTGGCAAAATGAGTTGCATGTAGCAGTAGTATGTACTCACTATATTATTTTCTGATATAAGCGTTATACAAACAAACCACGTATTTTCTATGTTCAGATGAGTTTAATTTCAAATGTTTGTGAACAGCCTACCACCTAATACGTAAACTAACACTGACTGGTTACTTCTTTTTTTTTAAAAAAATAATATCCTATAACTATTGTGTCACTCATACGTTTGTTCTTTTCCTATGTTTTGGTTTCAGTGGAGGTTTATGCATGCGAATGGTTGGCCGAATACTGTGATGAATGTTTAGATCTTCCTCCCCGATTTGGTTGTGGCTGGTGTGTTTATGCTCAGGAAAATATCCATAATAATGACTATGAGAATAAAAGCATACTAAATGAAGGCAAATGTCGTACTCAGAATTCATGCGTTACACGTAAATATTTTAATGGTTCTGCAGCTGTACGTCAGCATTCTTTTCGTCCGGGCGATGTCTGCCCAGATCCTGAAATCCTAACTGTAAGTCATAGAGAACAGATATTTAACTTCAAATGTGTTCTTTCAGCCTTGGTATGTCTTAAATATGTTGGCTATATAAAAAACCCTACTAAGTAGCAGATATTTACCTATTGGAGTTAAATGTATTTATATTTCTGTAGTAGTTATAAAGAAAGAAATTATCCTAGTGTTGCCCTTTCCAGCCGAACTTAGTTGATGAAGCAAGTAGACCCGTCTGGAGAAGAAGCGTACATAGAAGCACATCACAATCACCAGGGCGCAACAGTCTTTTCGTAGTAGGTGTTTTGTTCGTTGACCTAGTTTCGTGTCCGGTGATCGCTGACCATCAATATATCACGCAGCAATCATTTATTATGCCTTTGCGTGTAGGAAGTGTCTTGTCACATCCCTTGAATGGACAGTGGTGCAGATTGTTTTCTGTTTCTAGTATGTGTTTTGGTAACTGGTGTTCGTTTGAGTTGTTGCTTGGATAGATTATGTATTTTGTGCATGTGTTGGATGAAATAGCGATATAGCCATTCTGCAGTCTTATATGTTTTTTTGTGACCTGTTAATAGCCATATGTGTCGATCTGTTCGTGTAGTGATTGTAGTATTCTGTTCGTGGTCGTTTCTCAAGTGCCTGTTAATCTCTTTAGTGTTGGCGAATAGTCGATTGCAAGGTTCGTTTTGACATTTGTATTGTGAATTCTCATTTTCGGATTAGTCTCAGATTATGTTTTTTTTGTTTATTTTAACTTTACCCTGATTGTTTAACCAGTTCAGTGGTAGTCTCCCTTGAATCTCATCGCGGTCAAGGCTTAGTTGTCGTATCCGGTTTTGTTTTGAGACCTTTTGCTGTTGTTTGAGTCACTTATTTGACTTTTTAAAGACTGTACTTGGTGTTCGTTTTTGTAATACCTTAGCTACTCATGATTTCATTTAAAATTTTGTTTTCTTTTAATAACTTCCGTTTGGATTATTCACATTGAAATCAATTATTGTGAACTGAATGTTTAAGAACTTAAAGGGAGAATTATTTTTAAGCAAGTTTTTAATATGATTGGAATCAGGATTTCCTCACGATATCTGAATATTGGAATCTAACTAATCTCTTATTTTAAATATGTCAGTATTCAAAACGTGATCGAGAGGTTCTCTATTTTCTTGAGATTTTGGAAACAGAATTACTCTAAAATTGGAGATATGAAATTTCTTCTGTTAGCTAAAGATTGTGAAGATTGTTGAGTTTTGAACTCAAGACCTTCAGTCTCGTGCGCAAACATTTAACCTCTAGACTTCTGAGGTTAAGCATTCATGTACGAGATCGAAAGTCCTGGGTTTCAGCCCAGCATTCGAGGTTGTGGATGCGCACTGGTGAGGAGTCATATACCAGGACGAAACGGCTGCCCAGTGCTCCCGGGTTTCCAATATTGGTCTGACGTAGATTTGTTCATCCCGACTGAAGCTTCTACCTTGACCCGGTGATGGGGTTTGCCTATCGTGATGACCCAACCGAGCTATATTGGCTGAAACATATGTTCCTGTAGGTTCTACTATGCCAGGCAGGTCGATTGGAGAACGGTAAGACTAGAAGCAGCAACTCAAGGTCTGAGGGCGAAGTCGTACTGCTGACTGTAGAGGGGTGTGACAGCAGTAAGGTGTTTCCCTCGGACAACCAGCATCTGCAGCGATGCTGCCTTCCCACAAGGAGGGGTGGGGTTAGAAAAGGTCGACCCTAAAAATGTCGCACCTTACCTCACGGATTTCCGTCCCCGGCGGTAAGGCCCTTTGAAGAATGGAGCTAACACGTCAAAAACCTTCCACAAAAAGGCCGTGTGCGACCGGCCTCAAGCAGTTGTCCCTTGGGCTCTGCGGTCACGCTCCCAGGTCGTCAAGACCAACACTAATCCAACTTCCTTTTCAGGTTCCTCAAGAAATACCCTTCCACGGTGTGGGCAGCCGGGAAGTGACATCAGCCCTCATACCCGTAACAGCACACGAGACCAAGTTGGTCACATTCAAATCCTTCCTACATCTCCTAATACCTCTCTTATCTCCATGACTAACCCTTCTCACGTCTCTTTATCACCTCGCACCGCTAGGTCAAAAGATTCGAGTACGCGGAACGTTATTCTTGGTCTCCTGAAACCACACTCTAAACTATACGTAGGAGCTTTTAACGTTCGAACACTGCCAAATAGGACAGCAGGCTTCCTTAACTAGGACTTTAGAATCCCGCGTCATCGATGTGTGCTGCGTCTCCGGAACGCGCATACAAGATCCGAGTAGCGTCATTCATTTGACCTCACCATGCCAAAATAAAGAACCGACTCGATTCACACTTCGTGTATCTGGAAGCCCTGATTTTGCTTCGCGTGGCCTCACCAGCGTAGGTATAGCATTAAGTCCAAGGGCAGAACTAGCTCTCTTAGAGTGGATCCTGTTAGGATATACCAATAATTATCATGTTAAGTCTAATGGTGTCCTTGGACTTTAAATGGACACTCCCTATTGGTCAGTATTTATTTCACTTGTTAAATATTGTACAAATGTTGTTTTCTATTTTATGGTACGATGTGGTTTGTTTGTTTTGTATATAAACAGAGTATGTCTGAAATATAATGATTCATAACTCAGAGGCTGAGACATGCGTTCTAGACTCAACTGGCTGGGATAGACAGGAAAGCAGGGCCTAATCGGGACTCTAGGTCGTTCGTGCGTGTTTTACGTGTCATTGATCCGATCGATAATTACGCTGCGCTCTTATCTGCAGTCACAAGACACAACAGATCCCAGTAGACAGTCGTTTGTGCGCTGTCCGACTGCACGGAACAGTAAGGATCCGAAAAGATAGGGACACTCGTCGTTGCCTCTTCGTCGTCTCTGCCTATTCTTCCACTGACGGCAGCTCAGATGCTGTAAAAGATGAGCTTTATAGAAAGCTTCCCGACCTTCTTCAAAAAGCTAGGCGCTCTAATGTAATAATAGTTGCTGGCGACTTTAATGCTCAAATAGGTAAACTAAGCGAAAGAGAAAGACGCCTGGGTGGATCTTATAGCATCGTGGCTCAAAGAACAGATAATGGCGATCGTCTGTTGCGGCTATGCTCAGATAACCGCCTGTTCCTTGCAAATACTAACTTTAAGCATAAGGAAAAACATCTTTTAACATGGCGACCCCCTAATTCTTCCTAACGTTGGACCCAAACACATCACATCGCTATCAGCCACCGATGAAGGGGCTCGATAGAAGACTGTCGCTCATTCTGGAGCACATGCCTAGATTCAGATCATGCTCTAGTACGAGCGCGTATCTGTCTGCATCCTACTGGACGTAGGAAAGACGCTGTAAGGAAACCTCTTAGGGTCATACTTAATGATAATCAAGCTTAAAGTATATTTCAGGAACAACTAGGAAAACAGTTAGGCAGCCATATAAGTGATGCCCACCCCGAGGCAGCATGGAATGATATCCGAAAAGCTGTCGAAACAGCAGTGATATCTGCTGGTACGGTTAGGGAGAAACACTGGATCTCAGCAGCATCTACCACACTGATAGATGCTCGGAAACTCATTCCACCTGGCTCTGAACATAATGAAGAGCGGAGTCAGCTTAAGCGCAAGCTGACAAGAAGTCTACGCAATGATCGCGAACAGTGGTGGGTAGCGAAAGCAAGAGAGATGGAAAAGGCAGCGGCAATAGGTAATAGCAGACAATTGTTTAGACTCGTTAAGGAAACCGGAATTAGGAACCCGACCGTTAGCGAAACAATCTCAGAGAAAGATGGACATATTATTCATTCTCAATCCAGGAGATTGGATCGATGGGCAGAACACTTCAGGGATCAGTTCAACTGGCCTTCAGCCACACTTCGGTTTCCCACTATCTCCAGTCAACCTGAATGGCAAGTTAATGTAGGTCCTCCGTCTCTTTACGAAGTTGAAAAAGCCATAGGAAATCTGAAGCGAGGGAGAGCAGCAGGTCCTGACAGGTTTACTCCTGAGATTTTTAAGGATGGTGGTTCAGTATTAGCAGTGAGATTAACTGAGGTCTTAGGTAGAATTTGGGAACTGGACGTAATCCCATCTGACTGGTCTCAATCACTAACTGTGCCAGTCTATAAGAAAGGACAAAAGTCCTCTTGTGACAATCACAGAGGAATCAGTTTGACTAATATAGTGTCTAAAATATTAGCTTCAATAATACTTCGACGCCTAGCCAAAGCTCGTGAAGAGCAGACTAGAGAAAATCAGGCTGGTTTTCGACCTGGACGTGGTTGTAAAGACCAGATATTCACATTACGTCAGGTTCTAGGACATAGACATACGTTCAGACGCTACACAATGGTAGTATTTCTCGACCTTAAGGCAGCATTCGACTCTGTTGATCGTGATGTTTTGTGGCAGTGTTTGTCACTGAAAGGAGTACCAAAGAAGTACATTAACCTTATAAAGGCTCTCTACTCGAACACAACTGGTCGAGTGAGAGCTTATGGCGAACTGTCATCAGAATTGATTACCTCAAGTGGTGTTCGTCAAGGCTGTCCACTCTCTTCATTCTTGTTCAACTTTGTCGTTGATGTGCTTTTAGAGATAACACTTTCCTCATCTAAATTTCCAGGGGTTGGACTTCTACCGGGAGATTCACTTTTTGACCTGGAATATACCGATGACATAGTTCTGTTTGGTGAAGACAATGACAAAATGCAGTGTCTTCTGACCACTTAAAGCAACAATGCAAGTATGTTCGGGATGCGATTCTCTCCCTCGAAATGCGAAATGTTGCTTCAGGATTGGTTTGCATTGACACCCGAACTAATGATAAGGAGTGAAGTAATTGAGCGTGTCGATTGCTTCACTTATCTTGGAAGTTTGATCAGCCCTTGTGGTCTGGTGTGTGACGAAATCTCAGCACGGATGCAGAAGGCTCGACTAGCTTTCACCAACTTGCGTCATTTATGGCGTAGGCAAGATATCCGTCTATCAACCAAAGGACGGGTTTACTGCGCAGCAGTCCGTTCCGTCCTACTTTATGTCAGTGAAACATGGCCGGTAAAAGTGGAGGACATCCGTAGGTTACTAGTATTTGATCATAGGTGTCTTCGAAACATTGCTCGTATATCCTGGAACCATCGAGTAAGCAACACAGTTGTTAGGAAACCGGTACTAGGTAAGGATGGCAAATCAATTAATGACGAAGTGAAACTTCATTAGTTGAGATGGCTGGGACATGTGTTACGTATGCGCAACTACCGACTGCCTCGACGTGCTATGTTTGACGGTGTAGGAGTAGGTTGGAAGAAAGGTAGGGGCGGCCAGACCAAAACATGGCACAAGTCCATGAAGTCACTGACAAGTAGACTGAGTCATGTTGGTAAGTGTAGACTACCTGGTTGGGGACCGCGAGATGATAGCAACCGCTGGTTAGAGGCTCTGAATGACATGGCTCAAAATCGTTTGCAATGGCGCAGGTGCATCCACTCTTTGTGTTCTCCCAGATTCTTCTAAATTCTTCATGTCCCTTTCTGTTTTTTCTCTTTCCAAATTGATTTCACTGGATTATAATCTTTGAATAACATCTTCAAACCCTAATTTTTCTGATTACAGCTTATAATTTTAATACATCTAGCACTACGGGATTTGAGTTGACCACTGCATCTCTGTGCTAAGATGGTGTGGCAACACGAACTGATGTACATACGCACGAAGTTCTACGTTGTTACTGACTGACTGAGATTTGTTCATAGTTTCAATAAAATTCCTTTTATCATAGTCTTTTATTTATATATTTGTAGTTTATATTTAGGTTTTTTTTTCTTATTAATCATGGGACAGTTTTTCGCTGATCGCTCTTTAAATCTTCATCCGCTTTCTTTGCTTTTCCTTCAACAATTAGCTTTCCCCAACTAATGCCACTTTGACAGGACAACCGATACTTACTATTACTGGTAGAAATCTGGGTCGTAGTGTATCTGATATAGTAGATGTCTTTTTGGATCTTCAATCGAAAATTCAATGTATTGTTTTATCGGAAACATATCAACGTTCACATAAATTTATGTGTAAGCTTGTTACAGCACCTCATTTATCACTTCCTGTTTCTGGCAAATTAAAGGTTGTGATAAGCAATAAACGATATGAAGTGAGTAGTGTTAATATATAGAAAAATGAATCAATCTGTACGATTAATCTTTTCTAATTCTATCAAATTATGCATAGCCTAACTACCGCGTAAAAACGATGAAATCGACTCATAAATATGTGGTGTATGCTACTTTTGTCGACAGACATAAGTAGTATGTAACCAGTCGGAAGTGAAAAACTTAGCATCAGAAGACTAAGAAGATCGAGTTAAAGAGAATAGAAGGGAAAATAGAAAGAAATTATGGACTGGAAAAAATCATACAGAATGTGAAGGAAAAATAGTGAAAATTTACAAATGAAGTATTCAGTGTATGGTTCTCATATCTTACCAAGAGTTTCTTTAATTTAGTAGTTAAATGTAATTGCTTGTCCCCACCTGTGTTCTCGTCCACTACATATATATTTATGAAGTCCCTACCTACCCCACATAATAGTGCAGTCGGTTTCCTCTTAAAAATAGAATGGATCATTATATATTACTTTGAATATTATTGGAATTATAGCTATTAACAAAGTTTACTTAAATGTGTTAATTTTACTCATATATATAGTCTGTTCATGTTCTTTGCCAAAATGTTATGTCAGGTAAATCATATTTTCTCACTTATCTTTAGGCATTTTCACCTGTTTTTCACTTCGCTGTTCCTCATTTAATACATGCCACACCTCACCGTGGACCTAAAGCAGGTGGAACACGATTATATTTATCAGGTACTAACCTAAACATTGGGAGGCAACGCGCTGTTTATTTATATCTCCCAACAATCAGTGGGACAAGTGATGAATCTTATCAAGATAGGTTTTCAGAATCTGATGTTCATGTGAAATGTGAAATTGAACAGTAAGTTTCATACACAGTTGTTGCTCATAAATGTGTATATTCATGTTACTTTAATGTCCGAAATGTCAGCTTGTATCAAAGTAGACATAACGACTGTTTTAATTGCTGCATTATAATACGAATGACAAAGGAAAATAATAATCTGTTACTATTTTCTTTATGGTTTTTTAACTTGAAGTATACTGGGATCCCTCTATCACATTCACTGACAGATTTACAAAACATTTATTGTTTTATCTGTCTTTTTATTCTTTGGCATCATATCAAAATTTTATATCATTGTATTGGAGATATAAAATAACTCTTTACAAAATAAACAAAAGTCTATAAATGACCAATGAACTACTGTCAAGTTTTCTGATACAAATAAAATTTCAATCCAGATGCTAGCAAATATCATAAACACTAATTTACGGTATTTGTTTTTGTATTAGAAACTCGATTGACCTAGCTGCATACGAATAATATTAAACTGTTTAAGGCATATCAGTTCTAAAGTATATCCAATTGTTCTTGTTAAACATTTCAGATCGATTTCAGCAATATATTTTTATTTTAGCGTTCATTCATAAAATTTTCGTATAAATTGTTCATTCTTCTAAATTTTATCCTTAAAATTTAAAATTTGTTTCACCTTCATCCGGATCCAGTTATGTTGGTAATACTTAATGTTTATATGGTGTTCTCTCTTATAGTTTTTTTCTTACATTTTATGCTACTGTATCCATCTAAAGATTTTATTATACATTAGGTATCCTGTGTTATGTACTAAATTACAAATACTAACATTTAATGCAATGAGAAGACGAAGGATATCAGGATTATGTGATATATTTGCACAATACATGTCGAACAACGTTATTCTTTAATTTTTCTAATAATGTTCCGTCTAAACTTTTAGCACCCCATAATGATATCAGCCTTTATTAATTAATTCCTAGTCGAGTTACCTAATTACAACATCTTAATTTCCAATTCATCTTTTTCTAGGATACCAGTTTAGATGAATAACTAGCCATTAGGTAATGTATAAAATGGTTTAAACTACTCTTCATTCTTAATTATTAAATGTTTATTCATCAAAATATTTTTTAAATTGTTGAATGGATGTTTCCTTACTACATGTGCTTGTTTTCTAATCAGTTACGCGTTAGATGGCGTCAACGTCTTTTGGATATGCATTTTACCATATTCATTCCCTAATCTTTCTCTCTGTCCTAATCGTAAATAGGCGTAATCGTATTAAACAGTGAGCATATTCCATGATGAAGATAAGAAAGACTAATTAGTTTGACTTGGTCCACTAGTCAGAAAAAAAACACTAAGTCAAACCATTATTCATTTAATTAATAATTGATAAACTCTATTATCGTCATACAATATCACCACAATTGTACGGTGTTGATTGTTTTTGTAATTTTTCATTACATTTTTGACAATCCTTTGTTAAGTAAAACTGCTCAATGTACTGTTGTTTTGTTATAATACCTTAACACAGATATTTCTCGTTTTGTATTTCTTTTGTGAAATACTACTTGAATACTTCATTCATAATTCAATGTTTTAAATTTTTTTACCAGAGAATCTGAAACATTAATTGTTTGTTTAACTACTCCATTACTTAAAGAAACAATGAATACAATGAGAAATAAAAAACAATTTAAACGGCATTCATCATTTGTAAACTCTTACTATGATGACAATAATAAGACATCAATAACACCAGAAACAACAACGATAATAGAAGATGAACATCATATATCATTATCATTAGTTATAATGCATGATATGACTTTAACTTATCTATCACATTCATTTTCATTTATCTATACACCGAATCCATCTATAATGGAAGTTCAACGACAAAGCGTTTTGGTTGGGTTAGTTAGTTAATTAGTTCATTAATCTGCTCTTTTATTATTATATTGTTATGCTTATTATTATTGATTATATTGTTTTACATATTTCGTTTCAACAAAATTTATAGTCATCATTATCATCATTTATATTATCATTGGTTCATAATAAATTACAGAAAGCATGCCGGTTAACGGTCATGATTAAGTTGATACAAAAAGGAGCGTAATATGTAGTGGATAGAGATATAAGAGTAGATTGTTTTGAAAAGACATTTATCACAGAACTTATAACACTGTGAAACATCAGATGAGAATCATTATTTTCTTTTCAGTGTTACTGGGATGAATAGTGTATCATCGAGAGAGCAGTAATAAATGAATCCATGGCCCAGTAACATGATTTAAAAAAGACCGGAATATCTCGAACACCACAAATACAAATATATAACTTAATTTCAGTAAAAATGAATAGTGGAATATACGTAAATGCTGTGTAGAAACAACAAAATTAATTAATCTGAACTGGAAAATTAAAATGAGCTATTATATATAAGCAAAATTATCTGCACTTAATTATTCTATCCCTTTCAAAATCAACAATTTTTTCCCAATAGTAAATGATGATAGTCATAAAACCAGCCTTTATATATAAGGAAATATATATTTCTAAATGAAAAGCACAGATACGACAATTACGATTTAAATTTATGGCTATAATATTTAAATTACGAAGTGTATATTGGCTATGTTTGTGTAATTAAAAAATAACACACAGTAAAACGTTGTGATTCTTCATCTAAAATCTATTTGTCGCAATGATAACTGTCTTCAAATTGTGATTAATTAGCATTTACCAAATTACATAAAATAGTTTGTTTTAAATGTTACTATCATAGTTTATTATCTTACTGTTTATGACAATTTATGCAGATATCAGTTATTAGGTGAAGGGATAAAAGATTTGTTTATTCCAAGTATAATACTATGATCAGTGTAGAAAAAGTCGTTTTCAAATAAGCTCTATTAGACTGACTTTAGACGTTGGAGCTACAGACTGAAATTACACATATGCTATTGTATTTATTTTCAAAATATTGATATTAAAACTTTGGGATTTTCCTTTGCATTTATAATTCTACAACTAACTGGTAGGGAAGACAATTGTTATTGCTGTTTTAGGTATTATCACTATGGGTTGGAACGGTGACGCAAATGTTGGAGATTTCATTGCTCTCATCCTTACTGTCTCTTCTTTCTTACACTTTTGCTCATCAAAAAGTAGATTTAACAGTTTATGTATTGTGATTTAGCCAATGTTTTCTTCACAGTAGCTATTCGTTTTAATCACTATTAATCACCTGACATTATATCCATGGAATTTACTAGATGTGTTTTTTTATCAGCACGAGTCGTTTGAAATATCCTGGCTTCTCGCATGAGGTTAATTTATGGCTGAATTATTAGATGAAAGATACTTATTCAAATCAACTAAGATATTTGTGATTTTTTATAATAAGCTTGATTTAAATTGGTGCTTGGGGAAACACATCAAGAGGGTTTTCCGACTTCGATATACATGATTGTTTCAATGTTTCTCGAATTTTAGTGCCTAAATGTACTCAACTATTTCTTCATGTTGTTTTTAATGTCTTTTTGACTAAGTATTTCTGTCGTATGGGTTTTTATTCATTGATTGTTGATATTCAAAACTGAACTGATCAGTACCTGCTAGTATACAGGTTCTTTAAATAAAAGCCTTGACACTGTATTTACATAGTGATTATATATTTTCGCAGTGATTAGTATTGGAGACTGATCGATATACTTCAGAATATGGAAAATGGGAATCTTCATACCGTTGCTACATAACTGATGTTTCACTATCGTTGAACAAGAGGTGGGTAGTATAACTCTGTAGGCTTTATACATAACGGGGCTAATATTTAGATAGTTAAGCCACTGAGTAACATCAACATCAGGATCAAAGTAGATTGATTCGAAGAATCGCCCATAGTGATCATATTCATTTCCACTACCAAATTACTTTTCCCCCAATTCCGTATTTATTTTAAAAAATACCTTCAAGTAGTTGGTAGACCATTTGTAGTGTTTACTCATTAGTCATTCTTCATAAGTGGAACGATTTCCTGGCTAATAGTTCTACCTCCTCTTTAATATATCATAATACACCATGAATTCAACCCTATTATATTTTTTTTCAGAGGTGGAACTACCGTACGAGTTCTTGGATCTTTTTTATTTGTAGTTCAAGACCCTAGATTAGTCTTTTATTTCAATGGTTCCGAGTATAGTATGGTAGGTTAGTTTTTGACTTTTGTTGTTACATTCGTGTACTTTATTTTTCCTTAAATAGAAATGTTTTATGTAAACTTTTATGTTAAGTCATTTTACCACCCTATTTGATGTATAATACATGGGGATGTACTTACTGGATTTTAAAAACTAGCGCAACAATTAAGTTTAACTCATTTTTATTTACAATAGACTCTGTAGTATTCTTTGTTTCAGTATTTCTCATCAAATAATTGATATTACTCTAGAATCCTGTTTTCAGTCTTGTAGTAGTCTTAACAGAATAACATTGCCTGTTAATACCTTTATAATTTAATTGAACTGGTTTACTCATTCTGAATCGATGAATTTTTTCACTCTCAGAGTTCCAACACTTTAACTGGTTATTATCTTCGTTCAAACGCAACTTAGAGCTATGCTGTAGAATTATTGATTTTGATTTATCGGCTAATACTACTTATATCATCATTAAGATTTTGAAATATATATCAATATCTGTGGATGGTACACTACGGTGCTCTCTCTCCCTTGTACAGTGTCATTTATGAGGTAATTATTGGTGTTTAAGGTCGTATAAAGAGTTTTATGAGCTAACATTATTGACGTTATTTCTCAACTTTACGTAGAATAGATAAAGCTCGTAATGCGCTAACTGGACTATCATTGGTTAAGGGAACTAGGACGTGTATTAATCAAGTGTAGTTGCTATTTACCCTAACATCCAATATCAGTTGTAAAATAGGTCAAGAAAAAAAATCTAGGGAAGATCAAGTTGATTCTTAAGATCGAATTGATAGATTACCGGTTTAAGCTACTTGATAAAGTATATACTTCTTCATAGGCTCACGATATCTAAGCTAACAGTGATTGAAGGCTTAAAGTGTTAGTTCATAACTGGCTGTACGGATGTTTATACATTCATTGTATTTTTTTTACAAATCTTAAACATCAGTTTATTCCTCATTTTATTTGTTGCTTATCCGCTTATATACAGTTTTACTGATTCATTATGATATTTTATTTCTCTTATTACTTTTTCTGTCGTCATGTTAAAAGTGAACCAGAAAGTTTATATATATAGTTTCAAGTAGAATAGATGTTGTTGAATAAGTGGCGTGACTATAATTTATAGACGAACCAATGAAACTCAAGATACCGAATCTTGAGTTTTGGCATTGTAACTTATGTCATTTTATGATGAAAGCTCTTACTTTAATTCATGACGTTAAATCTCAGTCTTAATTACTCAAATTAATTGATAACCCTCTTTTGTTCCTAGTACGTAGGTGAGTTGTCTTAAGGTCACTTTAGCATCACTCAAAGATCATCTATTAATTATAGCCCCACCGAATCAGTTGTATTGTCTTTATTTTTAGATTTAATGTTTTAATTATTTATCATCTTAATAATAAAATTTACTTTCGAGAGTGTTTATGATTGCTTGAAGTGTATTACCGGAGTATAATAAGAAGCCTAAGTCATTAAATTCAAATTTGTTTTCTATCAACAAAATTGTATAATTTTTTTCTTATGTCCATCATTAGAGTTGCCTTGTTTCTTCAAATGGACAATTAGATTGTTTCAGTCCTTCTCTTGGGATGTTTCAAGATACTCATTCGGTCAAGGATATGAATGATAAACACATATATACAAGTGAAAAACTTGATAATCTCTCTAGTACTAGTGTTTGGACAAATAGTAAACAATATATTACATCTCGTTTGCCGATTTCTCAACCACTGGTGTTGTCTCAATTGAAATCAAACCGCGAGTTTTATAATTCTGCCTTTACATCTAATCCACCTAATTGGCCAATTGATGTACCATATGGTTTTATTATGGATGGTGTACATCAACTTCGCATATTTGGTCTCATTAAAGTAAGCTCTTAGTAAGAATTTGCCTAACCTGATTATTTGTTTTCATAAGCTTAAGAGCAATTAATTTAGACATGTAATTTGTAATCTATAAATTATATGCTTTAAATCAGTTTTAAGTGCCGATGTTGTACTTTGCATCTTTTAGTCATGTGCTCTATCTGTCTCTCTAAACACCTTTGAGTACATCCATGGATAGAAGCCTAATCAGCTGTTAAAATTAATCGAACAAGTAAATTTTTAAAAGCTGTCTCAAATATGCCAATAAACTTTGGCTATTACAATAATCACGATATCTAAATCCCATCTTGAATCTAACATGATGCAAACTGTAAACATATGTAGTAATATATCTAGTATATTACACTGAAACTTACAGAAATGCATCGTTTTCTTAAATAGAAAAAATGACACATTGAACCCACTCCTGTATCCATTATTTGTAGGTTTTTTAATTGGCATCTTAAATACTGAACATTTTAGAATGTAAGTGCATACACAATGTGTTTCTTGTCTTAACGTGCAATAGTTAATCATGTATGTATTTACATTGAAGTAACTTTTGCATTGATTTTTCATACCTATTAGACTAAGTTTTATTCGTGACTGAGTCATGTGATACATCAGATTGGTCTGTATTTGCTTTTTTTCTTACATACTCCTAATTCATGTAAGCACTACTCTCTTCAATATACTACAAAAAAGAGTATTAGAGTGTGTTGTGAATTGTTTTCAATTATTTGTTAATTAAACATGACTCATATTATGACTGTTACATAGGGAAACAATCGAAATGTTAGTCATTGGATCGTTTTTTCAACCTTGACTAACAGATTTCAGCTTTGAATATCTCATTTTACCACTTCTGAGTAGTAATCTATACTGTTTAACTTCAAAGTTAATTTCTTTTGTGATATCTCTGGTCTACCCAGGTCACGTTTAAATTAAGTTGTAATTTATCAGAACTACAAAATTTGAATTCTTTAGAATGATAAAATTTTGTTTTGTTGCCATGGTTACCGATGGTTTCTGGATCCTCTTTAAACATACACATACTTGATAGATCTAATTATAATTTTGTTAATAGACCATCGAGGTAACTGATATTCTGGAAATACTCTTATAAAGTATTCACTCAGTTGGAAAGTATTTGTTAGGTTTCGGGGGATGGGCAGAAATGTATTCGGTTCGAATATGGGCAATTGAGTCTGTGTATAAATCAGCATTCAGTTTACTGACCTTATCCGTTGAAGTAATTTGTTTTGTATCAATCGTTTTGTTAATCAAATGGTAACGAGCATTACTTTCAGTACTGAACTCAGTTAAATGATTTATGTGTGTTTTCACTGACTCAATAAAATACCTGTCATTCTTACGACTTGATTCTTTCTTAACAGTAACATACTGCTTTCTCATGATTACTAAGCACCATAAACTGAGAAGAAAGTTTTTCTTTTGAAATTGACGATGCTTGTATTGGTGTCTTCTACTGTTTTGTTGCTGATTGATTGTAATTTGAATTATGGTGAGACTTAAGATGCTAGTCAGAGTATGAGAATCATTGGTATCGGCAGTGCATAGAAATGTTTTTCACGTAAGCACTATAGGAAACATTATGATTCATTGTGATCTATAAAATTGTGGAGTTAACAGTAATTTCCTGTTTAAATGGTATTCAGTAGCAGAATACCTGCAAAGGTCATGCATATTTCAAGGTTGGATTGGTGTCGTTAGATCCTGTAATACGGATATTCAGAAGCTATATGTTGTTCATTTCGATAAACTGAACGAGTTGTTTAATTTCGTTACTAGAACTCTGAAGAGTGTTAATTGAATATAAAACTTTACTAATAATTATCTCCTCGAACTCACAGATTCAAGTTAGGGCTTATAGAGTATTGTCATATTGTATGACGATAACAAGTGGCATTCACGGAAATTGCAATAATTCAGCAGGTTGTTTAGCTTTCTTATATCTAAACTGATGAAAGCAAATATTTAACTATAATTTTCCTGATATTTAGGCTGTCTGGAGATCTTGTAACCAAGTCACAGCACATCAGTTACATAACTCTTGGGCAAAGCCGCTAATAAGAAATAGTATCTTCTGACAACTTCGAGTAAAAATTTGGGAACTTATGGCACAATTTTATACTTTAGATAAGAATTAGGACTTTTCTGACTTATACAATCGGTTTAAGAACTAAGATTCAAGTGATTTTACGTATAAAATAGTTTTCACATCTAACAAAATTTTATCAATCGTCTCGTCTGCTAATCTACATTAAATAAGTCACTGTTTTTACCACCTTTAAGCTTATACTTGGTCACTGAATTAAATTTGATAGTAGTTACTTTCACAACACTACTAAATTGTCGTAGAACTAACATTAACTAAAGTTCTTCAATACGAAGATCACGAGATAATACGAATTGAGATGGGGGGGGGTAATGTTTCATGTCTGGTAAATTACAATCTGTCCTAAATTACTGTGTTTGGTGATATAAAATTTGGCTTATAAGACTAGGCGTTGTGAGATCATCATAGACTAAATAACTGTTTATTCAGGTCGTATGATAAGGTTTATATTTCCTGAATAAAGTTTCTCAGAATAATATGGATCAATGATTATAGACCTTAGATAACGAAACTCGAAACGTTACACAGTTTATGCCTTAAAAAATAATTTGATTATCATTTATTTCCCCTCCTTGATCCATATCTCCCTTTAAATTCACTTGGTTTTGTTTATTTGAGTCTTCCCATTGATGTTTAGGACTGCAATTGGTCAGTCTCTTATTGGCATTTGTGAATACTGTGTGTATTGCCTCGATATTGCCTTAATTCACAAGCATTATATGCAAAGATGGATAGTGGCTAGCAGTGGAATTAAGGACGCGTGTTTCGTCCTATTTGGGACTCGTCAGCTGGATGTACCTGCGTCGCAGAGTTGATGTCCACTTTAGGACTCGAACCCAGTACCGTTTGCCTCAAAAGTCATCGGGTTATCCACTTAGCTACCAAGTCCCTTCGTTTACGTTAAAACTTCACTTTTTTAAATCTATGGAAATGTTTATTCGAGTTTCTACGTTGATACATCTGTATACTCTTGATTTCAGGTGAAGTAATCTTTCATTTTCAATTATCATTCTATCTATACAGAACTCTTCAAGTGGAATTTTTCTATGGATAATAATTTTGATCAGTTGATTTTATGTTTATATTAATCAACTTTTTTCAGGTATTCAATTTATGTAGCGTGTTTTATTATTGATACATTTCTAGTATATTTTACTATTAGATCATACTACTGTTATATTACAAATAAGTCTCATAAAACATGTTCACTTTTTGTCATAGCATTTCTAATTATTTTAGGTGTATCAAGATCCTATTGTAATTCCATTTCCTGATGGTATTCGTGTGGAAAATCTTGATGATTATCTAACAAATGATTTAATAAACGATCAGCATATTGAACTTAATACTTATCAACGTCAAATATCTAACCAATCATTGGAACTTTCATCTCAATCAATTTCATTGACAAATACCCATACATTATTCAATCACATAGATTATTCAAATGTTAGACAATTAATTCGAATTCATGGCCATTTTGATGCTCTTATCAATGCTCCAGAACTAGCTAAATCTGATGAATTAGTTGTAAGAATAGGCGATTCATTAATTTGTGAAGTTAATTCCATTATATTGACAGAAATACGTTGTGATTTAGATAGAAAAATGATTCATAAACATCAAGATTATCCTGTTGAAGTTCAAGTAAGCAGCTCACATTCAGTTTGTATATTGTTTTGTTAACATGATCAAATGTACGTTTCTTTTGTTAATATAATTCATATTTCATCAATTTTCTCGAAACTGGCTTAAAAGTCATACTTAACATATTTACTTAAAATATTGATTATGAGGGTGAAACCTTAAAGAATTTGGGGTCAGAAATGTTACTTTGCGAGTACAAAATTACACACATTTTTCACGGTGGCTCTGTGGTTAAAAGATTTATCTTACCGACCAATCGGTTGGAGAGTTGAATCTCATTCTACTTTCTTCTGTCTGTTAAATCGAGTGGTATCATTAGTCCTAATGTATAACTTTTGATCAACGATAACATTTGCTTAGATTAATTTTCGGAGTGCTAAATGAATCATGTATAATCAAAATAATGTTTCTAACTGCTTGAATTACAATGAAATGAGTTTATGAAGTTCTTGTTTTTCTTTAAATTATAGTATTTTTCACATACTTGGGTAAGTAGTTCTCAGTGAAGAAGGCATACTGCCAGTAGTCGACTGTTTGAATGAATTTCTTGTAGAACTCCAACTTTGAGCTTCAGTCATAGGAATAATTATTGAAGTCTAGTCAGCAAGTCATAATGTACTGCACTTGGCATAATTTTTGAAGACGTTAAATAACATTCCGTAAAAGGGAAAGCTGTTGCGCTCATTCGCTATCTCGTAAATCTTAAGTATAGTATCACTATGTACTTCTCTCTCGATCTCATTTATTCCTCTTCGCCCATGTTTCTCAGCTCCAGCTTTCCACTGCACTGCCTATTTAATCCTTTCTGATGTTTTGCATTTAGTCAATTTCTTCCCTCCTGTACTAATATGGATGGCAGAAACTTAAATAGAAATGAGTATGACTGACATTAATCATCAAAGGGATATCTTCCAATGTATTGCTATTTTTTAGCATCATCTAATCCATTATTCCTCAAAATAAAGTACGTTCGTTGTTGTTTGTTTTGGAACAAGTATTAAAAATTTTACAAATGTACTGCGATCTGCCAAGAACACATTAATTTTAGCACAATAACGAATGACTGTAATAGTTATCATAGTTTCTTAATATTCTTTAAAGGTATGGTATGAAAAACGTTTATACAGTAATAATTTTGTCAAGCATAAATACTTCATACAATCAAAAAACTGTTTGGACATCGTGTAACTTCATTACAGTTTATTATTATGTAGAAACTACTAAAATTTTACCCTTCGTTTACATGGAATTCGCTAATTTCCTGCATACGTTTCTGAATTAATGATAAGTTTTCTGGATTTAACTATAAAACGCTTAGAAATGGAATGTTAATACAAAAAATATTCTACTTAAATAACAGATACACTAAATAATCGATCAATGATAGAAAACGTTCTAAATATTGAAATATGTCAATTTTTCTGGAGAGATGATATAAATTTCAAACTTCCACATGATAAAAATGTATGCAAATTAACAAATAGACGCTAATTCATCCATAGGCTTTAGTTGAGCCACACATATTATGTCGAAGCTAATCACATGTAGTTAAAATTCACTTAACTTTTCTGAGTGTTAAATTTATTGGGTTTTAAAAAAAAATTTTAACCAGCTCTATGAAACTTGACGATTCTAATTACTTGAAAAACTGTGAAAATATTTTAACTTTATTTTCATTTTGTACTTACATACTAAGCATTTAACACCATCTTTCTTATTCCAATTGGTTTCTTTTCTATCTGTGTAATATAAAACTCTCAATAAATCTCTGTATAATTTTCCCCTTTTTCAAATTTGACGATTCTTGTTTTTGAAGTTGATGAGTAAAGTTGAAATAAAACCTGAGTGGCAACGGGAGTTAAATTAACAAACTTCAAATTACTGATATATTATACTGGTTTTTTGTGGTGACTGGGACTCAGGCTGTATTTAGACTATCCAATAAATCATTCTTTTAACTCATTCTTTTCCTATGATTCAATTGTTGAATTTTTTTCGTAGAGTTTGTTAATTTATATAACAGTACAATGACTTTTTCTTTAGACAACAAAGTACAACGATTTCATCATATTTTATTGAGCTTTATAATCGTCATCAATTAATATGCATGGAAATTGAGAAAGCTGTACTTTTAATCCTTGGCTAAAGTTAAAAACAACAATAATAGCTGGTGTGAGGCGAAAATGTTAGACCGATGAAATTAGCATATTTATGTATATACACCAGGAAATGTGTCATTTCTTTGTGTGAAATACGATAACGATTATTAGAGTATTCTACTATGTGTGACAAACCATAGCTGTAAAACAATAAAATGATTATATCGGTTTTTCTTTTTTTATTCTTTCTAATGTCATGTAAAAAAAGAAATTTTCTTAAATTGATTTACTCAAACTGGAATGTCTGTTAAATGAACAACTCATCATCTCCAACTAATCATTTGTTTTAAAGTATTCGTGAAGGTTGCTGAAAATCATTGTTTATTAAGAAAACAAATATTGAAGTAAAAGATTTAAATAAAAATTCTCAAAGTGTAGTGTTAGAACTTAAATCTTCTTTAGAAAATATTAATAATTAATATTACCAGTTTTGTGCATATCTGAATTATCTTACTTGTTCCGGATGATTAAAACATTCATCGTCTTTCTGTGTTAGATAATTCTGTGGGGGGAATCTGATATTTCGAAGTGGCGTCAGCTGAAGTACCACTAAAAATTAGGTTACATTGGAAAGTTGTTTCCATTCTTGTTCGGAACACCTTATCAACATGCATTGATGCAAGCTCAAGACTTTCACGTCTCTCAGTGTGTATGTTAACACTAGACATTTGAATTGAAATCTGATGTCTGATATTTTCAATTTATGATTTGGTGTTATCATAATCAATAAGTTGTATTCTCACTTTGAACTGATCGCAACATTTCATGAAAACTTCATGAAACTCATCTTGTGATCATTAATGAGCACATGATTATCATTATGTGTTATTGAGAAATTTTCGTTTAAACTTAAGTTTTCTTTGCATTTCGTATACTCATCTTTTGTCACGAATTTGCACCGAACTACATATTTACATATATACTGTTGTTCATTGTTACGTCATTTTTGTCTTATCTCAATGTTTATTTTACTGTCTGACCTACTTTTTTTAATCGTCATCACTACATATTTTATGCGCAAATTCAGACTCTAAGGCTAACCAATAATTTTGCTTAGGTTACAGATCTAAAACCAAGTTGTAAACCTCTTTCACCATATCACTCGTTTTGTTTTTGTTTTGAACTTTACTCACATACCTACACAGACCTTTTTTTTACGTATCTGTACTAATTCGTGTTAAATGTTATGTGCATATTTGAACCAGTGTTCTTGTTTTGTTTATGGTCAAAATTCTGCGTTTCGACAACATAGTTCAAATTTCAGCATAGATAAAATACTTATTACTTGATGTCATTTGTTTTCAACTGGATTTCGTTTGTTTTTGACGAACTGACTTATAGAATATTTTCGAAACTAGATTCAAACAACAGTCAATATTAACGTGTACATTATAACAGAGCTCAGACCAATAATCATAGATTTCATCGACTGATGCAATCTCTTAGGCTTTTTCTTATTTTACTCGTACTCTATCCGGCGCAGTCAATCAAGATTGGTGGTTGTAAAAATAGGATCCACCTACTTCCCATATATATTTGGTACTCATCAACACTTAGCTAAGGCCGTGTAAGATGAGGTTTTGTTGATTATCAATTCACTGGAGATTACAGAACTCGACATTCTCAAACACTTTACTTTAAATGACAATTCTTTGTCTTATGCGAGGAAATGGGAAAATCAACGATATCAAACCATTGGTGGATTCGAAGTGAGTAATACTGAAGTTATTTCCACAAGTATAGATAAAGTAGTTGACTCAGTCTCTAAGATTCTATACTTTTACCACAGCGACTGATTCATGCATCGTTTATGAGATTAGTATCGCTTTATCCGTCTATTTCTAAAAATCCCTTACTGCGTCTATAATACAGTTCTCTTTAGTTTCTCTTATGTACAGCATACTAACTGTCAGAGAAAGTTCATGAATAACTGATTGACATTATTTGCTACCTTAACGTCTAATTAAACTTATTTTAAAAGATTAATTTATAGTGTCACAATAGAGAATCGGATATAGGTTAAAATTAATTTATCAAGACGAACTTTTGTAAAAACGAGTAATGAATCATGTTTTACTAGACATGTATGCAACAAAGTCACTCTTGGAAATTTATATACGCGATTAGAAAGGAACATAATTCATAAGCTTTTCATCACTTCCTTTTTTGTTAACTCATACTTCTGTTTTCATATGATTTAAAGGTAGTAGGATATTCCTTTTGAGTTAGCAAGGTTACTCTAGCCCCTAAATGCCCTGGTACGGTTGAGGGTGGGGTGAGTCAGCTCTACCTCTCGAAATGCTCTCAAATGGCCACACGTACAGAACCACTGTCAGGGAAGTCCTGCTCACTGCCTTCTCGAGACACCACTGTTGTTTACGAAATTGAGAGGACGAAAAGCGGGTGTCCGGCGCTTTATCCGGTCTTGTGGGCGGAGAGCGTTCACCTAGGGGAGTTGGAAAACCCTGATTCCGAACCAATCGTGCACATGAGCGCCATTACCTTGAGGTAACAAAAGGCGTATGAACAAGTTGTTGGTCACTGGATAACATGGGACTGCATCTCCTGATGTTGCTTCACTGCCTTGTGGATCAGACCATTAGATCGAAGGCTTCGGGTGCGGCCTCCTAAGAAAACCACCTGCTTTGGTCTGGGCACTCGGGCAGTATCACAGTCAACACACAAGTCAAGCGACTTGTGTGGCGCATATGTATTCAGCGCCCTTTATACCGATATTCATGTATTCAAATAAATAAATAAACTATTCCTAAACGTTCACTTATAGGCAAACTGATATAAAACTGTATATTTATACATTGTTTCGAATAAATCTGTGTTTGATCAACCATAAAGATATTTTGGTAATTGTGTTATCAAAATGGTGTAATTAAATTTTTTATAACACTGAGTAACATGTTCACTTTTTTTCAAAATCTCAATTCGCATTGTTCAAAGTTTGCTAAAATAAAACGGTTCTTTGTTACTGAGTTATAAAACGAAATGAACAATATAAGAATAAGTTTTATTAGTTATCGATAATATTTTCGTTAAAAAAACACTAAACATATAAGTATCGTAATGCAAAACAGTAATATATATATATATATATATATCGAGATCATGAACCGATTGATGTTGGACCACCACTGAAAACCTGGAAGCACTGGACGGCCTTTTCGTCCTATTGTGGGACTCCTCACAGCAGTGCTAGTCCACGATCCCGCTCTCAGGCTTCGAAGCCAGGGCTTAACCTACTTGGCCACAGAGCCGGCACCCAATGGTGTTAGTGTCTAACCTCAACCAATCCACGAAGTTGCGCGACCATCTTCCATTGTACTGAGATAGACACCTGTTTCTGTCCGACACGGATTAGCTCCACTGGTCACTGCTTCTCACCAGAACTCAGAGAATTTTCTCACGAAGCTAGTCACTAGTGAGCATATGGTAAGTATCAGTTTAGTCTAACGTCAATTGGTTCATAATCTCAATAAAAAAAACTTAACAATCTCCACAACCCCTAAACTGAGTATTATATATACACTGATATTTATATTTACTCACCAGTTACTATTTTTATTTCATAAATGAAGTTGACTTTATCAGTTTCAAAGTTTTGTACATAATCCCCACTCCCATCGAAAAATTACTTTCACACTCTATTTTGTTTTGTTTGACTTTTTCTTGCAGTTTGGACGTTTTCTTATTTATCGTCCTGGTTCTGTTCGTTTTGTTGCTTTACGTCAAGCAGCGTTACGCAGTCAAATTATTATGATATTTATTGGTCTTCTTCTAATTTTAATTTTTGTTTGTCTGATTGGATTTATAATTTGGCGACGTTTTATGCAACATCAAAGAAATTATCAAGCTAAACTTGATGAAAAATACGCTGAACATGAAAATCGTGTTGTTCGTATATTTAAAGAAGGTTTGTGCTATTTAAGCATATTCATGTTCAATATTTGTTTTTCTAGATTATAATGTTGATTCGTTCTTTTTTTAATTGTTCCTTTGAATATTTTTCAGTTTGGTAGCAATTACATGTAATTCATTTCAAATTGTAGTATACTTTGAAGTGTTATTTTTATGATTGAAATGTTCTCATTCCATGAGAAATAAATAATGATCAACCAATTAAAATTTATCATTCTTTGATAAATAAAATTACAAAACATGAATAAGCCTTTTAAATCTAATGTACGCGCACAAACGTCCAACTTGATTTACTGGATCGAAAGTACGTAAATTAAGTAGTAGTGTAGTAAACGAGAACACAAGTGGGGACAGTCGAATGTATTTGAACAGGAAATTACAAAACATCTTAGTAAAATATGAGATCCATACAGTAAATACTTCATTTGCAAAGTGTCAATCAATCATCTCAGTCTTCATTGTTCTTTCGTATCCACACCAATAATTTTCTGTTCTCGTTCACCCTTCTCTGATCTTCTTAACCCTCTTCTGCCAGGTATTTCACTTTCTGATGATGATACATACTACTTGTATTTATCGGCATCAGTAGCACGCACCATAGTAGTATTTTCTTCAGTACAATAATCGTAAATACTTTCTACTATAAATAAAATTTTTCATCAGCCAATAAACATTTTTTTGCTTCTCCTGAGAATATCTGTTTCTTTATTAGATTTAACATCTAGTATTTTTTGTCTACAACTAGCATTCGTGAATCTTTTATTTCTATTATGCTAACTTATATGTGATAACACATGTACTAAAAAAATTGACTGAAGTTCGGTATATGAATCAGATGGAATTCTGACTGTGTGGCCTATAAGGTATTATGTTTGCTATGAGTTCTGTAAGTTTGAAGTTCATAATTATGTGCGTCATGTTAATAAATCTGTCTAATAACCCTTGCCTTTGCCCATCAGTTGACCAGCTTGGTGTTTTTTTCGTGACGGAAAATCTTCATGTTAAAAAACCTATCTCAAGTTTTCATGTACTTAGTTTACAAACTACTGTATTAAAAGGGTAGGACATTGGGTGCTGATCAAATACATTGTTTTTACCTTGCATTTATATGTGCTAACAATAACTAACCTACTGTAATAACTTACTATTAAGATTATTTTTCGGAGTTAATAATCAAATAGTTTAATTGAGTTTCTTTTTCTCCTTATAAATGATAATAGATTTCATGGAATTACAAACAAGTATGCAAGAATTTTCTCAAGAAGTGAAAAAGCATAATCTCCCTTATCGAGATTATAAAACATTCTGTCTGTTTTCGTTATTTCCTGAATATCATTGTGAATTAATGAATCCAATCGATCCACATTTATCGGCTCCATTATTAATTAAAACTGATATAACAATTGAACCACTGAATAGTGCAATTGTACCAAGACATCCATTGTTGTCACCTTTCACAGTAAGTGGGTTAAAATAAAAATTATGATCTATTATTATTGATGTGTTCAACGGTCTCTTTTCAATTATTCTTACGACCTCTTCGGGGGTTGAATCCAAGACTGGAACCCAGTCAAATCTCGTTATTTCGTTACTTTTATTTGTCGCTATCGGTGATACCGTAATGTAAACGATAATCATTCAGTTAGAACAATCATCAGTTCATGTGTATATAGTTGTGTGTTGTTCGAATAAAACAACTTGGAATAAATATCTTAACTTACGGTCTTATGGATTTTTAATATTTAATTATGTTCATTGTTACAAAATGTCTGAGTTATCCCGTTTTTGACAGCCTTGGTTGGATTTTAGTTTGTCTTTTTTGGAATACATTCATCCTGCTCCGATGGCCTCGACATAGCCGCTTCGTCATAAGTTCTTATAAAATAGATGAATTGTGACTATCAGTGGAATCGAGGAAGTGTGGCTATCTGAATTCACTAGCGTAATGGATAGCGCATTAGGCGTTTGGAACGGAAAGTACTGGGTTCGAGTACTTTTGTAAAATTTAACATGGATGAAGTTATGTCCTACTGAAGATTAGTTCCGTATAGTATGGAAGTAGCGCCATGGATACTACTACTACTACCCACTATTCATTTATTTTATAAAACCTCTGACGAAGCGGCTTTACCGAGATAATCTGCTCATGATGCAAATATGATAAGTAGGACTGATCAAAATTCAGTCGACGATTTGTTTATATGTATTTCCAGAGTTATAAAGTTCATTCCGGCAAAGTTGACATTTGCTACATACAATTTTAACACTAGTAATTAAACTCTCAATACATTTTGGAAGAATTCAGTTAAAGTAAAGAAAATGTTATATTGATGCGTAAATAATCGTAAGGAGATTAAAAAATCTAAACTTGTCATACTGTTTTACAATTTTTCTGTCTACATAGACTTTCATTTCTATTCGTAAATTGCTTAGTACTTTATTTTTTACTATACAATGCGTTTTTTAAGGTGCATGTTCGAGCGCATGATGATGCAACCAAAGGAATCTCGTTATTTCACGCACTCTTGTGCAATCGTCACTTTTTATACCTTTTAATTCATTTGATTGAAGAAGATAAATATATAATGGCTAAAGATAAATCTCGTATTGCTTCTCTACTCTGTGCAGCTTTGCAACCGAAAATGGATTATTTGACAAGGTCAGTTGAATTTTTCTTACAATGTTCGTGTTATTCTATCAAAATCTCCTCAGTATTAGGATGTTCGTAGTTTGATCAGTTTTAAGGTAGTTTCTATTACGAATTGAAATTAGTTAAGTAATTACTGAAATCCGAGAATTACAGGAGATCTTTTTCATTCTGGTATGGTTTCTCAGTAGTGCTTACCCACGACCTCTTTAGGGATGGAACCCATGATTAGGGGTGAAAGACAGAGGGTTACTTTTAGAATATAGAGTTATGATCCATCAGCTCACATTTACAACTTCAGTTAATTCGCCAATATCGCTTTACGATTGTTCATTACTACTGATAATATCGGGATGTAAGTGATAATCATTCAGTTAGAACATTAGTCAGTTTATTTGTACCATTGTATCTTATTTCACACTTGTTGCTGGTTATTTTGTCGCATTATTTACACATTCATGTTATGTTAATAAATAAAATAACCTTTGGATAAATTATTTTCAATTTTTCTAAATATTTACATTTGTAGTTATTATTAAGGAAAACAACTGAACTATTATTATTATGTAAACGAGTGTGTTTTGTGTTGAAAACGTAGTCTATATCAATTCCCTTAAAATAGATGATTGAACATGTAATCCACCTTGATTAGCGTGATATTGTGGTTTAATGTTTCCCAGTTCAGTTTATCAATTAAATACTTTCTTAATATGGGGGATTTATGGAGATTGTAGTACTTTCGTAGTTGAAATCACGAGTCCATCTAAACTAGACCACTATTGAAAATCCGAAAGGACTGGACGGTTTTTCATTGGTGGTCTTTGTTATGACTTTTGCCCCTGCCAATTATCACGTGACAATATCGCCAACCAGAATACCGACTCATTTGTCCTTGTACTTGTGCTAAACCAATGACACATCAACCAGCACTGTCAGCCTTGCATCAACCTTAAACCCTTACTGATCCTTCTCACCTAGCCCCCTGCCTGTTGAGTTCAAAACTCAGTCTTAGCCTGCATTGTATGAATCGTATATTTCAGACATACGTGGTTTATATGCAAGCAGACCAGACCGCTTCAGACCATAAAACAGACAGTAACAATTATACTAGTTCAGTTCAAAAGTGGCTGTGAATGTGAGACTGTAACTTATAAACTGGGATTAACTTGAGAATAGTAAACCATATGATAGTAACCAATATGTCAAATGAGAGCTTATGATAAAAAGAATGTGAATATCATATAATCTATTTACTATACAATTAACCAATATGAGTATATGCAATAATAGTCCATAAATAATTCCTAGTAGTTACCATTAATTTATTCTTCGTCGGGATATAACATACTAGCTTAAATCAACTCGTTATATCAATTATGAAAATACTACAATCTCCATAATTCCCCTATCCTGATAACAATCATGTACTGGATAGTTTCTGTTAGATTACACATGTTATGAACTAATTGTTACATATACTTTGTTATGTTATCATTCCTATCAGTCAGTCATACGCAACTTAGAGCCTGGCATATATGTAAATTGTTTCAAATTATCTATAAAATGATAAGACTAGTTTATATATATATATATATATATATTTCATGTTTAATTGTGTTATTTACTTATGATAAAAATAGTAATTTTATTTTTATTTATGTCACATCAAAAAGATTACAATCTAACAGTATTTTCAATGAAATACTTTAGAAAATTATTTTCTAGTTCATATATGACCTATTTTCATTATCATTATTTGATGATGTATAGTAATTTTTCTTTCATTACATTAACCGTGAAAAGTTGAATGTAGATGGGTGCGTTCGACATTGAAATAATGGAAAAAAATCGTTTTTATAATGAATTAACAAAATTCGTATTTTGTTTTATTTTCAAGTTCATGACAAATAGTGTGAAACAGATCATTTTCAGCGGGTTTCTATGCAAAAAATCAAATTCTTGGTAACAACACCAGCAATATGCCAACTTTTTTCTGAAAAGAGCCTTTTGTTTTGTATTTTCCATTTCAGTGTTATGTTTGATTTAATGACCGATCTTTTGTACCAACTTCGTCTTCAAGGAGATGCTCGTTTAGCTACTGCTTTTCGACGAGCTGAAACAATTGTCGATAAAATCCTATCTAACTGGTTAACATTCCTATTGTATAAGTTTATTAAAGTAAGCAAGTACTATACAAATTCATTTTTAAAAATTTTCTATATGATAGATTGTATCTAACCTTAGATGTGGTATTAATTCTTCACATTATGTTTTGCTGCTAAAGAAAGAATAATGGGAATATCACGTTATTTGAGACGTATTTAAAAACATTTAATTTTCGGACCCATAGTTTCATCATGTAATGTTGTGCCTGTATTCAGTGAACGGAACGGAATGTCTCATACAGATACAGGTTCTCTACTGTGTGTACTTTGCGAACTAATGGATGGAATATTATAGAAAGGCAAATTAAATATCGTTTGCAAAATAAGCTACATGAACTTTGGGAAAACTCTAGTATGGACATAATCTTAACCGTTTATTCTTCAGTTGCACAACTTCTTTCTTATACTTTCATAGTCTTAATGTTAATTTAATAGATTTCTCACGCCAGACCATTATAGTATGCAGTTAATTACCATTATTATTACTTAGTTAATGGTTGCAATGGTCTTCTATACAGTGTATTGCAATGTATGACTTCTTTTTCTTACTTCATTTAGAATAGCGTCGGTGAAAATTTATTTTATTTTTACCGAGCTCTTCTACAACAAATAAATATGGGTCCACGTGATGCTATAACTGGGAAAGCTAGATATACATTAGACAGTTCTTCATTACTTCAAACAGAAATGACTGGAAAGCAGATTGTAAGTATTTTAAATTCTGCCCATTCACTTTGTATATCTATGTGTGTATTCTATGATTGTTTGCTATTATACATTTTTACATTTATTACTTATATGACACTTTTCACGCATTTTCTTTCATTCATATAGATTTGTTTTGCACTATTATTATTGCTGTTATTTTGTGCACAAATTAACTGTATCTTGTCCAATGAATAATAATGATACTTTTTTTAGACACTCTGTGTTGAAGATCCTCAGCAATTATTTGGTTTATCTACTTCATATATTTCTGTAAAAGTGCTTGATTGTGATACAATAACTCAGGCCAAGGAGAAAATTTTAGATGGAATCTATAAAAATAAGCCATATTCAAAACAAATTAAATCTACACAATTAGATTTAAGTAAGTGATTATCACCAATTTCTATTGATCTCATTGTTATTTCATCATAATATTCTCCTCTTTTTTATTTAATTCTATAGTTTGAAATAGCATTTCTTTCAAATATTTTTTTCTGAATTACTTATGATTAATTATTATAATGAAAGCCTAAGAAATTGTTGTATTTTAATATTGTTTCGTTTTAGTGATTAGTTAGAAGTAGGATAGTGTAAAATACTACTTCATTTTGACTTTTTTAATAATCCAGTAAGTTTTCCAAGGTTAAGGCGAGTGAATTAACCCACAAAACATTCGACTTTTAACTAAATAATGATTAATAGTTTGGAACTTCACTCCTCTTCTATTTGTGTAGCTGGGTAGTATCATTTACTTTCATCAAAGTGATTACATAAATCTTTTCTTAGTAAATACGTTTCATCAGGTTATGTATGAAAAATGTAATATTATTGTGAATAAAAGTTCACATATGAGATCGCGATAAAATTAGTTTTAAATAACTTAGTTCTAAACGCAGTAGATAAACGTACGATTATGCAATAGCTCTTAGTCCATGTTATGTAATTACGGACTTGGATTATTTTCAGGAGGACGGGATACTAAAATTAGAGTGTATCATTTAAAAGTACTTTTTTGGGAAAATTAATTTATTAAATGAATTACCAATTGTTATTAGACATGCCATTATATTCAGATTATACAGTAGTAATGGTAGAGATAGCAGTACCATGTCATGATTTCTTTGTTTATTTTTACAATCATTTTTCTAGAGAGATTAGATGAACAACGAGTTATCGCACAAAACCCTGGTACGTGTTTCTTCTTTTATTGTTCTAACTTCGTTGGAAGATTGTGTAGTTTGTGAACTAGAATCATAAACTAATTATATATATATATATATATATATATATATATATATATATATATAATACTATGATAACATTTCAATCACTTTTGTAAAACAAACGAAATCTCCGGAGATTGATCACTTATATAATTGTTCTATTGTGACTTTACTAACATTTATCATTCACCAGATAGTGTTATTATGTTACTGATGCTATAAGTGGATATACTGAAGTAGTTTAAGCTAATTTTATTTCATCAGCTTATTGTTCATTGTTGTCACTTCAAAAAACAAGTAAATTAAATTTTATGCATGTTAGTGAGTATAGTTTTTAGTTTGTTTAAGTGTTTATACTGGATGAACATTCTTCCTCACATATATATATTCCTTGAATCTGTAAAAATGGTTTATTTTGTCGTGTTAGAGAAAGTATTTCGTTATTTTTCAAATTACCATAATTAATTGTGCTCTTCATATTTCATTAATTAATACCATTGATAAAATTCAATTTTGTAATATCGACGTTTCCTCAGCAGGTCGTCTACGTTATTAATTGGATTTATAAAATAAGACAGATTGATTCACTGAAGAGGCCTTGTTTATGCAAATGTATAGTGTTTTTTCACAATAACAATCTAATCTATGTCTATTGAGAATAACAATGATTTACTAAACATTATAACAACGGATCAAAATGAATGACAGCACAGAAAGTTTTTTGTTCTTATTAAGAAGGTGAAAATGTGGTTGTTCATTACTTGAATGTTTGTAGAAGTTCGATAAAGATTTATAAGTGTGTATTGGCTTGTATTCCCAGCGTTGTAGTTAAGCTGTTAAGGCCTTCGACTTTTAACCATTTAGATGCAGTTTTAAACCACGCTTCCATATACTTCGGTTTGCTCAATCAGCTAGTATTACATGCCACTTGCTTAAAGTAAATCTGAAAGTCAAGTACGCAAATCTATTCTAGGTAAATGAGTTGAATTAAATGATTTGTGTAACATAATTAGATAAAATTTTGAAATTAAAATGACATGATCAATTAGAGATGTGCAAATGCTTAGGATTAAAGAGTCAATACTAGGACAATAAAAGAAATTAAGGGTGGTAACTTTGGAATATTATAGTTTAATGCCATGTTAGAATAAGAGGTTGAATAAATTTATTTTATAAACATAGCTAGTTCTGATTTCTCTAAGTGTATAACGAAATCTTCAACAATGCAAAGCAGATAGAAACTCATTGCTTTTTGCAGGAACTAGATTTCTTCAATGAACCACTCTTTTTTCTTTAATGTTTCAGTGTTTTTTGTTTGTCTAACTAGTTCTCTTGTCATTCTTTCTTAGCCTTAGACATTGTTGTTGTAATCATTGTTTTTTCTGTATTGTATATTTCTATTCTAATTTCAAATTACTTAATATCTCTGAAATTCATAAAACAATTAGATTAGATAATAACATGAATTGATTTAATTAACTGAGACTTTATTTCAATATTATTTATTCTTTCACCAGTCTAGTTAGTAAGAGTATTAATAGTGGTAGTGCTGGTAGTAAATAGTATTTTTATATATTATTATTCAGTTAATTGATGCATTACAAGATAAATTTTATGGTTTATTTATTTTTATAGAAAATGAATTATTTACTGGTCAAACTTTAACGGATTGGGACGTAAAGATTCGTTCGAATTCATCAAATTCCACTGATCATGACAAGTTACCATTCCGATTGAACTGTATTGCAGATTATCATGTATGCAGTAAATTTTACGTTATTCACGTATACAGTAAATGTAAAAGATGTATTTCACTTTGCATTTTTGTAATTTAAAATATATTAGCACAGTTTTGTCTCAAACCACTGATGGAAAGTAAAGCAGTTGATCTCTTTGATCAGTCCAATTATTTTGGAAGTCTCATCGGCGTTGATGGATTAGTGCATGACAAAATTTCGGCCTAGTTTCAAGACGTTTGGTCGGCTTTTGCCAACTTATAACGTAGGCACGATGTCTGTCTACCAACCGAAGGACGAGTACGCTGCTCAAAAGTTCGTTTTGTATTGCTCTTTAGATCCTAAATGTCCTCCATGAAAATAGAAGATATGCACAGTCCGAAAGATTTGGCTGCATATTTCTTCAAACCATTCCTCGTGTCATGGAATGACTGAATGAGCTATGTCGAGGTTATATATAGGTCAATTAGTAAGATGGTAAATAGGGGTTGCGAATCTCCATCAACTGAGGCGGTTAGGACATATACGACACAGGCCCAACAATTGTCTGTCTGACCGGATGATGTAAATCGATTTAGGAGCACTTTGGAAAGAAGTTAGACGTGCTTAAAATAAGACGCGGTATTAGTTCATAAAGTCACTGACTATTGGTCTGAGCCATCTTATTACCTGGGGGTTCGCGTGACATCCACGTTCAGTGGTTAGAAATTTAGGGTAAAACAGCTCAGGCAAAATCGTATCCAAACTTTATCTTCCTCTTGATCTTGAATTTCAGGGTTCCATCATACATAATTCTCCATTTAAAACCCTATTCTCGCTGTTCGGTTTTCCTCAACATCACTGCTGCTACGTTATTTCAGTTTTTGCTACTCACCATATGCTGATGTGTAATTGCAGCTCAGGCTAACGTACATCTGTACTCAGCTCTACGTTTATCATACCAAACTAATTGATTTTTAATGTGAAAGCTAAAGGTTTTGTACATCTATAAGTTTACTTGATCATGCGGGGCCTGTTATGTTGGCCATGCACAACGAATACTTCCCAAACGCATCTAAGCACATTACGCAGTATGACTTTGAAGAGGATAATTCCAAATGATCAGTAGCTCAATACAGAAATACTTTACCAACTCTAGGCAAGTTGCCTCTAAGGAATCGTTTTTCAAAATAATCTACACAATCAGAAGAATGGGCGATCGAATAGAAAACTTATGGACTGGTGAGGCATTGGCTATTCCCCAATTCATGTCTGAACTCTGTGTGCAGAAGCAAGATGGATAACCTCTCATCCTTCCATGGCCCTACTGGTTCTATTCCAGTATATTTTAATCTTTTTTGAGATTTTTACTTTGCGCTTTTTTAAACCGTAGTCAGTTATTATTATCATCCTCGAATATTTTTCATGATTGTTATTCAATCGTTATTATGACCTTTATGTTTTTCATTTCTTCATATCTATTAAATGAACAGTTATCTCTCACATTTCTGACCCTTAAATTATTTTCACCATTCCGCTATTGTTGTCTAACCTCTTGTTCATTACGATACCCTTTTTTGATATTTGGAATTTCTGATCAATGTATGATGTAATCCGTTCTTCTATAGACTTATAAATTTATCAAACCACTATAAGTATGACTGTACAGCTTAACCAAATGTTTTTGTCAAAACAAAAAATTTTCCTCCCTTTTAACAAAATTTCACACAGAATATACAACCTGTTGTTTATGAGTTTCTATCTACAACAACGTCATTCATACACAAAGGAGTGCATATTTTTAAGAATTATTATTTATTAACTCTGGTATGCTGTCTTTTTTCAGTGTGCACATTTTTATAAGTAAATAGAAAATTGCATTATTTTTTTCTAAAACTCACAGAATTCTAATTGTTACCGTAATTGTACTTGTAACTACATATATTTTTCAACATACTTCTAATAAAAAAAATATGTATGTTGTAAGGTTTAAGTTTCTTTTGTGAAAGAGGAGTACGAAAGTTACGTTATTTTAATTCATCCATCACTGTTACAAAGTTGAATTATTAGTCATTTATGCTTGAATCATATTTCATCACATATTGCTAAATAAACAAATAACAATAAAATAATTTCTTTTTTCCGGCTCGTCTTTTTATACATGACAAAAATCAGTGATGGTATTTGCACAGTTAATGTTTCTTGATATTTTTTATTTGTATATATACATCTATATATATGAACCAACACTTCTGTTTCGTAGAAAGCTTTGATCAATTTCAGTTTGAATGGTTTTTTATATAATGGAAATTAATTAATTATTCAGGTTGTAATACAGACATTGAATGTCAGTCTGGACTAAACCTAACGATACATATAATTTTGCCTGAATCGTATTTGGTAATCCATGATTCCTATCGGTCAGCAATAAGTTTGAGAATTGATTCCAGTATCAGAGAGAAGCATCCATTTCACATATTCTTTTTTTTGTTACACTTCCGACTATTTTCTGTGTTGTTAAGTTCCATTTACCTGTGTTTTTATGTGAATTTTAACCAACTAGAGTCAATACATATTTGCACCATATCCTGCGTTGTTAACGATTGACTAGGTTATAAGATAAGATGTATATCTTCAATTATCTTATCATAACGCTTCTTCTAATCTATTTTCTATTATTAGCTCAAAGACAATGCACATGTTGCACTGGTTACTTGCGAATTTACTAAATCCAATCATAGTCAATCCATATCGAATGCATTACAATGTAAGTTTATCCTTTGATTTTTGATATACTGAATATTTTGTATTTAACTTACTATTCATGTTTATTTTTGTTTTAATAAATCTGTTTGTGACTAGGACATTTACAGCCAAGTAAGCTATGTTGTAAGAAACTTCCTCCTTTGAATTTACTTAGAAAACTGGTTTTTATATCTACGATGTCACAAATATTCACTGTACAAACTGTCAAAACGAAGATAGTTTCATCCTAAATTGTGCTTGCACATGGTGGGTGTATTTTATAAGCATTTAATAGCTTTAAAAATAACTTAAAAATTCGCATGGAAACATAAATTATCGATCTGCTAAGTTTAGTACCCAAAATTCAATAGCTTGGATTCTGCCTAACACTTATATATTGATGTATGTGAAAATAATCTAACTTCCATGTCCAAACATAAATTATTTATCCTTGACGGGTTCCGAGCAGATACTCGATGAGTTCTATACTAGGAGGAAACAACTATCCAGCTTCTCGACAATCCTCCGAAATTGATGTTAATTTGTGAAGAGAATCAACTACAAAATAGACTATTCTACATACATATCTCTAAATTATTTACTCAGATGTTCGATTACTGTATGACAGAGACTTTTCTGCTAGTTCATACTTCTTCAAACAATTACTTCAAACGATGAGTCGTTGTTGTGTCTTTTCCCAGTGAGATTGTCGTAGCTAGAATAATATTTAGCTACAGTAAGAACTTTATTCTAAGTAGTGCAATAAAAAGATCTCATTACTTAACATTCGTCACCATCTATCTACAGTGTGAATAAACTAATATTTATAAGTAGAGATGGACGATGGCTATTAGTAGAATCCAGGACGCGCGTTTCGTGCTATTTGAGACTCGTCAACTGCATGCACCTGCATCCAGAGTTGATGCTCACTCCAGGACATGAGCCCAGTGCCGTTCACTTTATGGGACAAAACACGCGTCCTGGATCCCACTGCTAACCACTGTTCATTTCTGCTTATAGTGCTTGTACCTTAAGACAATATTGAGGCAATCCGCACAGAATGCAAATATGTCAAAAACAGATTGATCAATTTCAGTCCTAAATATCAATGAGAAGATTCAAACAACCAATACAAATGAGTTAAACTAACCTTTATTTCGAAGCCTTTACAAAGTATTTTAATGGAAATATGTATAGTATATAAAGTAAAAATAATGTTATTAACCGAAACCAATGGAAACGAATAATTCAACTTTACATACTTTCAACATACCATGAAGTATTCATAAGATGATTGAAACATTTAGATAAGAGTTCTCTAACATGAACAGGAGAAAAAAAAACCACACTGTCTTCATGGATTACGTTAGTATTACAAAATACTAAGTTACATTAATCTAGACAATAAGATGAAGTATAGTGAGACAATAGAGAGAAGAGTTTAAAGTACATCAATCATAATTTCATAAAATGAAATAATTGAAATCAAAGGAGCTCATGAAATGATAAAATTCTATCATTGAATTATAATAAGTTTATCATGATACTAATAGATTGACAATTGTCTTATTAGATATTTAGGTTATTTACTGTAAAGATTATTAAATTTTGCAGTTGGATCATAGACCAGTTTTAGTTAAGCAGCTATTGAAAATCAGAAAGAACTGGACAACTATTTCGTTATAGTTTGGGACATCTCAGAAGTGTGTGTTCAGTCTTGTTAGCCTTACATTAGCTCTATTTGGAGAGTAAATGACTTATTACTTTCCATATCCTTCTATTATTTATTTGTTAACTGACTTTCAGTCGTGTTTATTCTTGTGTTCAATACTTTGTACATAAGCATATTATTTTATAGGAAGCAAAGACTTCTTCTGTAATATGGGCTTTATCTTCTGATATCAGGTAGTGAATGTTCATCGAGTTAGGTGATTGAAATATGTATTACATATGTCTAACCATGCCTACCTCAACACATGATGTCTATTGGTGTGAGAGGTTGTTGGAAGAAAGTTACGGGTGGCAAAACCGAGACATGGGATCAGTTCATGAAGTCATTTTCAGATAAACAGAGCCGTGTTAGTATATTTATACCACTCGATGGGAGTCTACGTGGTTATTAGAATCAATCGTTGGGAAAAAAACTTTTTGAAATGCTTCGCGTTGAGAATTCTATATTATACCAAAACATAATATTGAATAAAGCCATAATAATAATAATAATAATAATAATAATAATAATAATAGTGATAACAGTAATAACGATAACAATAGTGTGAAACGGCTCAGAATTAGTTTTAATGATACGCATTCATTCATTCTTTATCTTCCTTTAAATCCTCACATTTTTTGTTTCACTAGTTTATTTCCTCTTCTCGAATTATATCATCTATACCTGATCACTAATACTGTTACTGATCCTAATACTCTGGGGGTTTTCCTGATAATCTCAGTTCTCTGTGTCATTGTGGTGTGGCAACCTGGAAGAATATATTTATATGCTAGGTTCAACGTTACATCTGAGTAACTGATATCATTTCATTCGAGGAAATATGATAATTATTCTGTCTGATAGGCAGTCATCACCACTCAGTCATACTGTATCACTACACCTTATCAATCGATAGGCGCATTTAATTCATTCATTTAACAATCTCCAAACGTATTTTCAGTCTAAATCATAAAAGAATAATTCATATGTGTCAACAGCGATAGGATCAATGAGCAGATACTGAACAATGGAACTTTATTATCAACAGTAAACTTTTTCCAATATTGATAATTTCCATCTTATTGCTTCCAAACTAAATTAATCAACTAATCACTGTTCAAACTTCATGAGGAAAATACTATTTATTGTTTAAATTGCTAGCTGATCTTATTTTGGCTACTGTTGAAAGCCCGAAAGCACTGGATGGCCGTTTCGTCTTAGCATAGGATTACTCAACGTCGCTGACCTGCAATCACGCATCCGGGACTAAAAACCAGGACTTTCGGTTCAGCGTGAAAACCGTTAACCTCTAGACCGTTGACCAGGCTTCCAGATTTTCACTGGTGGTCTAGGTAATATTAATTCCTGATTTAAAATATGGAGATTCTTGTCTGCATTATTACCCGTGCACTAAAAATACTATTGTTTGCAAAACACTACTCATTTGGAAATAAGTAGGTTTACCGAAAAAAATCAATGTCTTTTCTGCACCAGACATTAGTTTGCATGTAACTTGGTTCGGACATCCGGGAAATTCTGTTATTGGTATTGTCTTTTGATGAATTGAAATTATTTATTTGAACTATTATTATATGAAATATTTTCTACGTTTCATAACACACAGCTGCATCTCGACATATCTGAAATTTACTAGTAAATTTCTTAGAAGATTTATTCATTATACTTTTCTATGAATCTACCTCTTATCATAGGATGATTTGAACAAGTTCTACAGTCAGATTTACTGCATATGATTTTATAGTTTACAACATGGGAATTTATAGGATGTATCACTCTTATAGATGAAGTGTTTTGGGATCATTTTTCTGTATACTAATTCGATTTATACCCTAAATAGTCTCCTTATTTTCCAGAGAAAAATGGTTTTTCTTCTAGTATAAATATTTGACTATTATCCTACCCTTACATGAAAAATCTTTTTGTAATGATCAAAGTAGCTTTTAATTAGGCAATTTGAAGCTAGGCCACAATGGAAAACCTGGAGGCACAGGACAGCCCTTTCTACTTAGTATGGGACTTCTCAGCAGTGAGTATCCGCGATCCCGCTCTCGCGAGATCCGAACCCAGGACCTATCAGTCTCACGCGCGAGCGCTTAACCATTAGACCACTGAGCCGGCATCCAATAGTGTTAATGTCTAACTTCAACTAATCCACGAAATTGCGCCACCATACACCACTGTTTTCAGTGAGTTGATATTGAAATTACTAAAATCTCCACAAAACCCCTTCTGATTTAAATTAGGCCTTTATATTTTAGATTTCGAGTTCTCTTATAATTAATGAAGTAGTTGTGTTAATCACGTCACGCTTCATTAGTTTATCTTCAAAATACATTGTACTAACTTCAGATATACATCCATTTACCTGTATTTGATCATGTTATATTTCAATTATTTAATTCATTTTCACCTAGTTTGTTTAGAATGATGTTACTAAATACGAGTTTCTCTTCTTTAATTTACTAGCTAATGCTTTTCAACCTCAATCAACAGTAGCTCAAAATTCATGCTTTTCCGTGGATGAATTTGTCCATATACCTCCTATGTCTCGTCCGTTACCACCAATCTCTCCTACTGGTACTACAAAGTCAGTCAAAAATAATACTGACCAGCTAATAAGTATCACAAACCCTTTACTTAATGCTCATATCAGCAGTGATCAATTATATTTGTCGAAATTTTCTACTCCATCTGATGAACCTTTTTGTTTTCGTCCAGTCGGAACTCCTGATCCTAAACTTTGGTATCATATAGAGTGGACAGGCGACCATAATGACAATATCATGAATCCTAGTGGAACCATCAAGAAATCCATTAAACGTCTAGATAAAAGATCTGATAAATTAGAGCGTTTGTTATGCACATGCATTCATAAAGTTGACGATTCCCATGCAAATAATTCTTTCGGTAATAAAGGCGATATTTCTACACGTGATTTAAATCAAAATGAAGTGACCAAAATGTGTTCAGAATGTACAACACGTCACCCTCTTTTATCACCTTCTGAGGTAAATTCTTTAAAGAACCATGCTACGTTACTATCGGTCAATAAATCAAAACGCTTTAAAAAGGGGAAGAAACATCATCACAATCGCCTGAATTATAGGAGGGATACATCAGAACTTTCAGTTTTCAAAAGTGAAAAAAAAGCCTTAATGCCATCTGAAACTTCGAGAAGTTTGGATCATCTTATGGAAACGTTACCAAAAGAAGTGTTCTTTAATCGTCTTTTGTTAACACGCGTAAGTTTTATTAGGTTAATGCTATTTATGTGGAAAAGACTTTCCGCTTGGAAATCTGAATGGTGCAGTTTACCATATTGATTGGTATTCTTTATAGTTTCTGTTGAAATTCCAACCTGCTAATTACCAGAATAACTTGGTGCCATAGCTTACTCAATTTTAATCCCACTGTTCACACGCTCTAACTTCGTGCAGTCTCTCTTTTTTATAGTATACTTATTTTTTGGTCATCAACTTGAAACATCTTCATGACTAGATAGAATGTGTTTGTTCAGTTAATGGTCAATACCTTCAGTAACATTTCTAAATCATTAAAATAAATTCCTGTTGAAATTTCAGATTGTAAGATGGACATAGCAAAAATGATTATTGTTTTTCTCCGCTTTAGCTCAGTCCTAAGCAGAGGACACAAGCAACTATTTCTTGGGATTTACTATAATTTTTTATTATATTGAACAATGTATACTTCAGTAATCATATACAAGTTCATGATTTAAGTTTTACACCGAATTTCTCGTATAGGAATAAACTTATCCTCATTAAATTAAACATATTTGTATCAAACATAGAATTGAAATAGAATTCGTTTTATAAATTTATCTCTTGATGAACATCTTTGTGGTATGTCTGACTATGGTAATTACAACATGAATTTAATTCCTTATTTTTATTACGCATATTCTTTATCCGATAAGTTATTTAGTTATGCTGGTCAGCGTTTTCTTAGTTTGGTTTTTTCCGAGATGAGGTTACTGACCCGCAAAACCAACCTTCCTTTCTTACTCGTACTTGGGACCGGCAGTATCCTTAGAAGGGCTCGGTGAGAATTCCCTTCAGTTAAACTATATTAATTGAATACGTCTTATACATACATTCACATATTTATTCAATGAACCATTGTTTCTACCTTCTAAAGTCGATTGTGTTAGGATTTTGGAGAAGATTCAATTTGAGGGTTAATACTGTTATCATTTTAGTCATTCTAATATTTGGATAGTCATAACACACATCTTTTCCAGTTAAGGAAACCACTAACTTCGGTTTGGGCACGCAGGAAGTATCCGACCTCACACACAAATCAAATGATGATTACTACGGGAAAAATTATTCTTGCTTCAACTGGCTTTCAGACAAATCACATTCACAATTATTTGAAAACACTCGTTTTTACTTTTTTATACCATGTCACTTATCTACTTCCTTTTATTCTCATTATGTGTGTCGTTTCCTTTTCCAACTGGTATGACAGCTCGCCTATGGTGAAAACCCTATCCTATCAAGACGAGCTCAAGTCACTGATTAGTCAAAATTTTAATGCTACCACCAAATACGAATTGTGGACCAACCTTCCTGAAACCACGTATGCCATTCAGACGGGTATCTTTTAACGTCCCCATACTAATACAGATCTGACAACAGATAAGGTTGACCATGTCTTTAGACAACCTTAACCTCGATGTCTGTTGTCTATCTACGACCCGTGTTCAAGACTGATAAGTATTGCAAATTCGCTTCATCTGCCGCTTCCAAAAGCTCGTTTTTCATGTGTTTATTCAGGGACTTTGTGGCATCTTCTGGTCTTGTTGGCGTTCGTGTCACACTAAGCGCTAGGGCAGAGGCACCGTTCATCGATTGGACCCCCGATAACAGTCGATTATGTTCTGTTAGATCAGAAAGCTCCATTGAAGCGAGAAGAAATCGGTGTGGTAAACGATACCCTCTCGTCATCTCCGCCTACACTCCGACAGATTGCAGCCCGGATGCAATCAAGGGTTTTTACCACCAGCTAACATTCCTTCTACAGAAAGTGCGTTCGACAGGTATTGTAGTACTAGCCTGAGACTTGAATACTCAGATTGGCCATCTAGGCACAGAAAAGAGTCGTTTAGGTGGCCGATGGGGACTTGTTGGTCTCAGGTCTGATGACGGTAACTGTCTGCTCCGAATTTGTTCGGAACACAATCTGTTTCTGGCTAGTACTAACTATCGGCACAGTCATCGCCGATGTGCTATTTGACGTCCTCCCTTTGCATCTCAAACCTGGACTCAGATCAATCACGTCACAATCAGCTACCGTTGGCGTGGTTTTGTGCAAAACTGATGTCCCTTCTGGAGTCCTCATCTAGACTGGATTTCTACAGTATCAATACAGCTCGTTGGAGCAAATCGGTCTACTTCGGGTAACCGTGAATTTGACTATGAACCAGGACTACTACGTAATGAAATTGGGCAAAGCTTGGCGGTCGGTGCGTGCTAATGAGTTGGAAGTAGCAGCTGCATTTGGTAACTGCCGGAGGCTCTTTCAACTCATCTGAGTCACTGGCAGCAAGAAGTTTGGTGTGAGCGAAAAAACCTGTAGAGATGATGAGATGCCAATCACTAACATCTATCGACGTTTTGGACTACGGGCAGAGTTTTTCGAGGAGCAGTTCAACTGATCTGCTGCCCTGGAAACATTGATCAAAATGTCCTGCCCTCCGAGGCCTGTGTCGACTGATACACTGAATGAGGCGGAAGTCCACAAAGAACTCCAACTCTTGAAACTCTACAAGTCAAAGGCCCAGATGACCTACCTCCTACCCTTTTTGAAGGGTCTATGTAATAACTATCGAGGGATAAGTCTACTTCCGATTGCGTCCAAATAATTGGCTTCCGTCATACTTCGTAGATTGTTCAAAACCTGAGAAAGATTGACTAGCGAGGAGCAGTCTGTTTTTCGTTCTGGTCGAGGATGCATTGATCACATCTTCACCCTCCACCAAACATTAGAGCACTGTCATACTTATCAAAGGTCAACAATCGTAGTGTTTCTTGACATCAGGGCTGCCTTCAATTTGTTGGACAGGATTGTTCTCTGGGAGTGTCTATTGCAGAAGGGTGTGTCTGAGAAGTCTATTAACATCTTAAAAGCCCTATATACAAACACCTCCGACAGAGTGAGGACATACAACCGCCTCTCTCCATTGTTCCGTTCGCACAGTGAGGTTAGGTAGAGTTGCCCAATCTCACTGTTCCTCTTCAACTTTGATATCGATGACCTTTTGGAGAAAGCTCTGATGGATGTAGTTAATGGCAGTATGGATCTGTTGCCTGGAGAAAAACATTTCGACCTTGAGTATGCGGATGATATTGTCTTACTGTGCAATACCCAAGCCATGCAATACCTATTCAAACAGTTGACAATTAGTGTCCGTAGGTATGACATGTGCTTTGCACCTTCTAAGTCAGAACTAATTTTATAAGACTGGAAAGATCTTGTGCTTCCACTCACTCGTAGTAGCCAGAAGATAAGAGTAGTCGAAGAGTCCGTGTATCTGAGTAGCTGTTTAAGTGTTGATGGTGGCGTGTGTGATGAGATCAATTCATGCATAGTGAAAGCCAGAATGGCTTATGTCAATCTGGGCTATCTTTGGCTCCTTCGTGATGTTACTCCGGTTGAAAACGGTCAGATCTACAACGCATCGATGAGAGTAGTTTCGCTCCATGCTCTCCTAGTTGAGAATATCAGACAACTCTCTGTGTTTGATCATCGTTGTCTCGAAAGGATTGCTGACATTAAATTACAATACTATGTTACTAGTCCCGAGGTTCGACAAGATGTGTTCGGCCAAAGCGATAATAATTCATCCGGTGACACCGTTTCAAAACACCGACTTCGGTGTGTTGTACATATAATACGAATGTCGTTCCAGAGAATTCCACATCGTGCTTTATTTACAGACGCTAGAACTGGTTGTAAAAGCGGAGAGTTGGTCAGTGTATGATATGATATGTTTGTATGACGGTAAGCTGTACAGAACTGACCTCTGTTGGTCGTTCACAATTCTGTGGTTGGAGTCTTAGAGGTGGTGTCACACAGTGTCTTGAGACGTTACCAGACATAACTCAAAGTATAAACCAGTGGTGATCTCTCTGTAACCTTTTTTGACTTTGTTTATAAAAGTGAGAGTAACTTCTTTAACTGAAAAAAATTCTTTCTGATTGTATTTTTCCTAAATGTACTGCTCCTTCTATTATTTTTATTATCATCACTTCATTATTATTCGCTCACATAGAGTTCTATCCGTCTTTTTCTTTATTGTGTTCACCTTCCTTCTCTATCTTTTCACAAATTCATTTTTATCGTGTGGTGCATACATATTTTGGTGCCCCTTTTTGAACCAGTGCCTATGTGTTCAAATCAATACATTGATATATTTCCAATTGTATTTTCGTCCGATGTTTTGATACTCTTGAATTGACTCGCGACTGTTGTTACTGACCATGAATTCGATCATGTCGGTATACCTGTTTGATCTATTCATTCCTATTTTATTGAATCGTTTCATTTTAATGCAAATAATTTTTATGCCTCCAGTATATTTATGAACTTAGTCGAACAATCTCAATTTCCTCTTCTTTTGCAAATAGAAAGTAGTAAGGCAATGGGTATGAGAATCAATTCAATTTAAAATGGCTTGGATTAAATCAGCTTGTATCATAATAGATACATCGAGACAATCTGTACAGAATATGTATATGTCAACCAATACTGATCAAATTTCAGTCAAAAATATCAATATTGTGATAATCCAAACCATTTCACATTGAATTAACTATTAGTAATAATATATTAAAATAATTTCTCACTAGCATAGTTGTAAACTGTTGTTAATCCAGATCGAAATGTAATTCTCTCGGCTTTTTAAGTAAATCTTCTTTAAAAAAGTAATGTATGGAAATATATCTGTACACAACTCCGTTTCTAATCATTTATAATTTAAAGCTTTAATTTTTAGTCGTGTTATAAATATATTTAATCATATCTGCACTGTTCATCTAATCTACCTTTCACTCTTTTTTGGATTTTGTCTAATATCAAGTTATCTGTCACAAAATATATGGATAAATTATTCGAAGTCATGTTCAGCAGCGTTGTACAGTCGCATAGTTTACCAGCTCCAATTAAATATCTTTTTGATTTTTTGGATGATAAAGCAATTAAACTAGGCGTACACGATTCGAAAATAATTCATGCTTGGAAATCTAACTGGTTAGTGATTATTATTATTATTATTATTATTATTATTATTATTATTATTGGCATCGTTTTAACCGTATAACTTACAGTGATAGTATTTCTATAAAGAGCTCATTTAACATGTTTATGAACTATACAAATCAAAATATCGTAAATACTGTTCCTAATACTACTTTTAATAATTAATAGTCATCTGTTTGTATGCATTATCTAAACAACTGAATGTAACATTAAAATTTTTAACTTCATATAAACATTCAATAAAATGAACAGTTTGGCAGGAATTGAGCGTCAATTATTTAGAAAACACTATATGTAAAAATTGTATTTAATGTAATCTCAGTGACTGAGTTTGATCACTTATGTGAAGCAGTTCAAATCAGTTGGTTGAGTTGAAATGTTGGAAGTATGTAACTTTCAATCACTGAGATTATTTCAAATATAATTTTTACAATTACTTACTCGCAATTGCCAAATTTTATAAAAATTTTATTTCATTTTAAATGTTTTCTTAATGAACGTTTTTATTATCATTTACAAGTTGAAAACTCAGCCCTAATTCATGGAATACCATGTATTCATGAGTTAAAATCTTGCATAACTAATGCTGTGTATAGATGGGTACTGTATGTAGTGTCATTCTAAAGTATATGCCAATAAATTATTTTTACAACTCTGGTTTGTCGTTTTATACTACAATCCTAAACTTTTTGATTCAATGATCAGATTTATTCGCAAGTAATTTTTCACATTCCTTGGTATAATCATCTCTTCTTTAAGAGTTTATATAATTCATTAGGGTTTCAGTTTGGCTGCATTTCTCTCTTCGGATAATAACTCATAATTTAATGAACCTATTTGTTGTCATTTATTATAGTATATCCAGCTTAGTGTAAATTCTTAAGAGTCATATATCCTTATTATATCCATTCAGCGAATGTGGTAGTTTTACTTATTATCATATATATATGAATGGGACCTCAACACATCCTAGTTGTTATCCTGAATTATCTTTAAGATAGTTGATTTTCCCCCAAAAAAATATCTGATAATAATCACCTTGTTACCCTAAAATATTGGATACATTCCTTTTCACGTTTTTCTCTTTCATTTGATGAAGTTTAGGTTGTTAAGTAATTTTTGTGTTAATTACTTTTTCATTTACTGGTATTGGCCTGTAATTTATGTTTGTTTTCAAATCGAACTAAGCTTCTGTTTTCTTATTGAGATGAAGTATCGTAACCGTTTCTGAATCAGTCTAGTAATTTTATTCGTTGAAACCTGGAGTATAGTAATATTGTGTAAGTAATTCTTGGTTGGTTCAAATTATACAAATCCCAACTGGATTTCGGGAACTTACGAACACATAAGGTTACTTTTTGTTTTCTAGTGATATCATTGAACACTCAATCCATTTTTTGGACTTATTATACTAATTAATTTATTCTTTTCCTCGTCTAGTATACAAATGCGTTTCTGGAATCAATTCATTACCAATTTGGATTATATATTTGATGTTCCCTTATTACGTAATACTGCATTAGAACGTTCGTTTCATGCATTCAGTCATGCTATGACCTATGCATGTGCACCAAATAAAGAAAAAATAACTAAGGATTCGTCTTGTGTAAAACTGCTTTTTGCTCCAGATATTTCTGTAAGTCTAAAATAAATTTTATGATTTGTACGCGAAAAAATGAGACAAGCTTTTTAAGTATAAATATTGCACGTCTTATATAAGTATGACCTTCTTTTTGCTATGACATTAATGTTCATTGATAACTCTAGCTTTTTCATTTATAAGTCATTCTTTTGATCAGCAACATGATAATTAATTTCTGGATGTGATGTGTTACAAAACTGAACCCTATATAAGTAGGAAAAGCATGAGATTGAATTAGCAGATTTTTGTGGCTGGACACTACCCCAAGGCGTTGCACACTGTCGCCAAAATTCTACCTGGTCCTCCATGGTTCTTTGGTGCAAATCATTGCTTGATGAAACAACCCGTTTCTAAAAGGCTTAATGTTTCAAGTTTTGTATTTGATATTTTTCACTGCTTCTGTTAATAGTTATGGTTTTGTGAACGTACTTTTATTCATGAGTTTGTTATTAGTCCCACACAACATACAAGTAAATATTTAATTCACTGAAAAAGAAATCCGTTTGTAATAATGTTTAATTAATGTGTTAAAATTAAATTATAGGGGTAAATATTGAAGAAAATGTGGAAAGGTGAGATAATGAAGTGTAAATTATGGCGATAAAACTTCGTTCTCAATTTGCTTACAATCTTCCTTAAATCTTTAAATGAATCTATCAGAAGAAATATAAACAGACTGTACAAAACGTAGATGAAAATCTCTTGATAGTCTGCGATTATAGGCTCTTCTGTTTTATACGTTCAATATATGTAACACAATTTTAGTATTTTTATACTAAAACACAAACTTTACTCATTACAAAACTTGAAAAACTCTCACTGTAATTAACAAAATTGTGCAAGTTAATAATTCAGTACATAATGTTTTATTTGCCTGTTAATACATCAGATTACAATGAATTAGTTGATTAATATTAAATTGGGAAGCTTGTTTTGTGTACCTGTTGACTGACTAACCTTAATTTATTATGGATATATCTGTAAGGAGTCTCTTAAAGGTAATTGGTTTTTACGATCAACATTTAGAGTTACTTGTCTTTTTCACTCTTTAGAAATGCTATTATTTTTTTCGATTAATCTGTCTATATTCTTAAATAGAATTTATCTCAGTATTAAATTATGAAACTCAATTGTAAACTATCATTTATTTTTTTCTCTCTTTTCCATTTAGCAACAATGGGATAGAGTGCATAATTACTATCGTGAAATTAAAGCTTTACCTACAGTTGAACAAGAAACAATGAATAATCTGCTACGACAACATTCTCAGAATCATTCTACAGATTTCAATGTTTCTTGGGCAGTTTTTGAATTGTATACAAAATATGTTAGAAATTATCAAGATGTGGTGAGTAGAATTTATTAAATTCTTAATAGTAAAAAAAGTAATTTCTAATTAAGAAATTACTACATTTTAGTGTTACATACATCATTTGTGTTGAAGAAATGAATGAATAATTTGTAATTAGTGTGAATAGAACTTCAGAAGTAACTTTGACCATACGTTTATATTGTTTTATAAAAAAATTGTGTTTTATTTGCACCATAATTGTTATAAAAGTTAAAAGAATGATTTATTATCAATTTATTACTGGGAATTATTGTTTTATCAATATGGAGATTTGTGGAGATTTTAGTATTTTCACAGCTGAATTCATTAGTCGATCTAAGCTAGGCCAGCGTTAAAAACCTAAAAGCATTGGATGGCCGTTTTGTTCTAGTATGTGACTTCTTAGCAGTGAGCATCCACCATCATGCACAAAGAACTCGAACCCACGATCTTCGGGCTCGTACGAGAACGCTTAATATCTAAACAACTGAGCTAGCATCCAACGGTGTTAATGTCTAACTTCAATCGATCCATAGTCTTGACTCATGAAATCAACTGTGAAAACACTACAATCTCCCAAAATCCCAGTACTCATAATAATCATGCGCTCACTAGTGACTAGCTTCAAGATGGAATTCCTGGAGCTCTAGTGAGAAGCCGTAGCGAGCGTAGTTCAATATGTGTCGAGTGTGAGACGTCTATTCACCTCAGATAATGGATGAAGGATTGCGCACGATCATGGATCGATTGAAGTGAAACATTTACACGATTGGATGCCAGCTCAGTGGTATAGAGGTTAAGTGTTCTCGTACGAGACCGTAGGTGCTGGGTTCTAGTCCTGTGTGAGGACCGTGACGCTCACTACTGAGGAGTTGAATATTAGGACGAGACGGCCGTCCGGTGATTTTAGGTTTTCAACAGCGGTCTAGTTAAGATTGACTCATGAATTCAACTGTGAAAATTATTGTTTTTGCATGCTTTAATTGTCTGTATTACATAATGGCTAAAATTAAATGGATAGTGGATTCTTAACTGATTGACTAACGCCATGTAACATTTAGTGACAGTATGTATTTAATTATTTGAATTCTGAATATATATTATATGAAAAGAACTAGTGTATACATAACCGAACACCTTTACACATAGACACGAAATAATTATTTATGTAGACTGAAGAGTCATCAAATTTTGCTATCTCATTGACTTCGTTCTGGGTAGGTTAGACGATCACTTAGAGATTTCAGTTAGTTGACCGGTCATCTTAAATCTTCCATCATTTAAAATTATTTCAATGTAGTCGAACAATAATAAAACAACTCTTGTCCAACAGGGTTTTTGTTACCTGTATAGTTGCTCCACACAGATGAACTTTGATATTTTTATTGTAAGGAGCCTGTATTATATCTGACTCTCTTAAAAATCAATATGAAATTACTTTCTTGCAGAATATATTTATAATTGTGAGTTGAAGCATTTCACTGATTTTGGGACTAGGTTATTGCATCAAATCATATAACTATGGTAATGATTGTAGCTACTTACATTGTTTTTTTTAGTCATCAAGGATTAGGAATATGAAAATCATATGTTACCAACTTATCATTGCAGTAAACATCAAAGATGGTATTGATCGCAGATTGACGTTGGTTAAAGTATCATTGATAATTAGGAGCGACGTAGTGACTGTTTTGTCTTAATTTCTAAACAGATTTATCTAATTTTTACAAAACACCTCTCTATCAAAATAATGATCATTATTTTAGGCTATTAATTATCTGAAATAGTCACTTAATACATCGAGATCTTTTAATCAACGCATTCTTGCTGAACGGAGTAGAACATTCAGTGGACATTTAACTTCGAGATCAACAGGCTGGATTTGGTAGGGATCAATCATGTACCGGCCAAATCGCCAAACTATGAATCATTGTTGGACAATTGATTGCATGGAACTCATCACTATACATCAACTTCCTTGACTATCAGAGAGCGTTTAGGAGCGTGGATAAGAGAACCCTATGAAACCTTCTTCGACACCATAATGTATGTGAGAAGATCGTCAATATCATATGGAATTCGTACAAAGAACTACACTGTAAAGTCGTTCATGGTAGAAAGCTGACAGGTGCATTTCAATGTTGCTTACTCTTACTTCTTCTCTTTCTTCTGGTGGTTGACTGGATTATAAAGACCTTTAATTCTCAGGGAAAACATGGACTATAGTAGACAGTTTGATTGTGGCTAAACTATTTGGACATTACAGATGACCTAGCTTTTATAGCCCATACACACCAATAAATGAAGTTGAAGACAACCAGTGTATCAGCAGCCTCTGCATCAGTAGGTCTCAAAATACACAAGCGAAAAAGCAAGATCTTGAAATACAACACAGCGTGCTCAAACCAAATCACGGTTGTTGGAGAAGCTCTGAGGTGGAAGTTTCGTGCAACCGGCCAGTATCATATATAAATGAGGACGATCTGACTCAGATGTGAAGGCACAGATTGGCAAAGCAGGGGCAACATATCTACAATTTAAGAATAGTCGTCAGTCAACACCAAATTAAGAATTTCCAATGCAAACTTTAAGACAGTTCTGTTGTACGGAGCTGAGACTCGGAGAACTACTACAATCATCATCAAAAAAGTTTATTTACTAATAAGCAGTTGTCTATGCAAGATACTTGAGATATGTTGACCGGACAATTCCAGCTATAACCTATTATAAAAGAGAACAAACGAACTACCAGCTGAGAAGTAAATTAGAAACGTCTCTGGAAGTAGATAAGGTCACACTTTATGGAAATCATCAAACTGCGTCACTAAGCGATTCCTAACTTCAAATCTTGAATAAAAAAGGAGAAGGGAAAGACTAAAGAACGCATTGCCCCATGAATTGTAGGCAGACATCAAAAGGATGAATAGAATTTGGAAAGAACTGGGAAGAAGAGTTCAGGAAAGAGTAATTTGGAGAGTGCTGGTCGGCGGCCTATACTCAATGAGAGGTAACAGGCGTAAGTATTAGTTAGTAGATACTGATTAATTTCTTGTCATGAATATACTCCTTAACGTTTCTGTTAACTTTCTCTTTATTGTTTATTTTATGAAAAGCTCATAGCTCATTTACAACAAGATGCCGTCACTCGATCATACAGTAATTATAAAATTTCAGAGCAAAACCCTTTTGAAAAATCTTTTATGTCTACAAATACAGAATGGAATCCTGTGCAAATTATTCAAATCCTTATTGAAATTAAACGATGTTTAGATAATGTACAAACTATTCAAACATCAAGCAATGATAAATATCATCATTATTATCATCAAAATACAATGCATCCAAATTTTAATTCATTTTTACCAAGTTCTACAATAGTTGGTGATATTTCTGTTCCATATGGTTCAACAAATGCAATTTTCCGCCCTTCTGGTGCTACTACCACTACTACTACTAATGTTGATGTTGGTAATTTTTCTCAACTTTCTTCTGCTCCAAGTCAAACTGCAACTGATTGTTTAGATACACTTCGTTCATATAACACATTAACTACAGAATTTGCTGGTGATGAAACTAGTCGATCTGCGCATCATTATTATTATCATCATCATTATTATCATTATCATCCGAATGATGCACAAATTAATGATAATAATAATAATAATAATAATAATAACACATCACCGAATAAACCGGCTGATTTATCTGCTCATTCAACAGCTATCAGTACAAATGATATATATGCAGACAGTATTTCTAAATATAAAGATCCATTAACCTAAAGAAAAATATCTTTCTACACATATACACTAGGTAAAATTGGTTTTAAACTCCACTACTTTATTAATCTGTTTATAATAATTTGTAGGTAATGTTTTATAGTCTTTTTTTTCTAATGGAACATAAATCCATTATTATCATTCAATGAAATAGAATTCAGTTTGTTCATAAACTCGTTTGTTGGTTGATTTGGATTAAATCAGAATGTTTTGTTATGAATTTATTTTCCTCCTTCTACACAATCCGATTATTATTATTATTATTACTATTCATTTTTATTTTACTTTAGGCCATTCTGACTTGTACTGTTCCATTGTTTAACACTATCCATAAATTGTGCAAGAGTTAATTATTTCAGGCAAATCACTTAACAATTACATTCATTTGTACACTTTAACCAGTTATAGTTATTTTCTGTGTATAGATTTCATTACTGCCTTGTTTTGTTCTGCTTTATGTTAAGAGTTATTTTCATTTAGAATCAATAAATAAAAGATGGATAAATTTTGTACTATGATGCATTTATTCTTGTTTAGAACTTATAGTCTCTTAATTCCTTGGATTGTAGTATATTAGACAGGTTGTTTTTCTTCATAGACTTATATATATAATTTACTCTTGTATTCCTTTTCCCTACTTGTTTTCTGATATATGTATGCGTACTTACTATCAGCGTGTTATTGTTGCCGGTGATGATTTGTATTTGTTTATTTTCGTTTTCTTAGTTCTCATGTTTTCCTCCATTTGTGTCGTTTTATTATCTAAGATATACCCTTTTTTATTTGGATTCGTTTATTTATTTACTGTTTCTTGTGAATAAATAGCTGCTGTTAATGTATTCTCGCACCATCCCCGCGCTACAAAGTTTACATTTCGTAAAAATCTGGGTTGGTTTGCTTCAAAAAATGTAGTCTCGATTTTCTTCTACACTGTTTTTCCTTTTTTGGTGATAAACTGTTTTAATGATGAAAATTCCCCCAGGTTCTTCTTTCTTATTTTCTTATCCATTACTCCTTACTGTTACCAAGATAAAAATTTTCCAACTGAATTTGAAATCGTGTTATGGTTTTAATATTATTATTACCCACTGAATTGCCCTTTTATTTAATCCTGAATTAAAATATGGCTTACAATTATGAACTTACATATGATACTAAATAGAAATGTGTTGTCTAACTTTTTTCGTTTGTTAAAACGTGCCTTTGGGAATGTTTATTAAACTGTTGTGTCTATTCTCCTTGGCTAGTATTAATTACAATTAGTTTGCATGAATCCTATAATGACTAGTTATTTACAAACATTACTACAAAATTTCTAAAAGTGTTGATTATAGTTGACCATATATAAACTTATCTAACTGATTACTTAACTACTGCTGATTGTACCATTGACTTAGAGCTATCACACGTATATAGTATGGCGACTGAAAATATTACGGGAATATTCAAACTCAAATATATACAGATCCCACTGCATAATTGTTAAGTTTCAATTCTACTATTTAAATCTAAATCTAACTAGAATATTACCCATTTTGTTGGAATATATTATGATGAATTTAGCTCAGACGCTTAAAACTTTGGCGTGGAAAGTAAAGGTAATAATAGCATAGTGATGTAATCTACTGATGATTGACGTGAAATAGTCATCATTCTATGTGAAGTACAGAACCATTTTAGCTGCCCAAGAAATCGACTTTAATGGTTGAGTGTAAAACGGTACACGATTAATAGAAACACGAAAGGGATGGATACATAATAATGAGTCAGGGGTAGAAAAGATTGAGCGATTAGGACATAGAATATGTTTTAGTAGGTATCCAAAATGTATAATCAAAATTTTGCTGACAGATTTCTTATCTAGGCTGTCGTATTCATTTCTACTACATTTACTAACAAGTACTTATATATTACAATTTCCTTGCAAATATTTTACAAACATTACTGGTCAATCCAGAAGCTTTTGATTGAACGTTCTTTTTGTGACGTGAAACATCATTGTGATGAAGTTCATTTGGTAGATGCTATTCCATATATCCTCCAAACAAGTTGACTTCTGCTCGCTGATATCCGAAAAATTTCATCTAGTATAATCATTCATGTTTGGTTGTGAACAATATTCATATGTGACGTCACATCCATCAGTGATGATTAAGTATTTAATATATCTTTTTGCTGGGATATGTTCCTGTATCAGTAGAGGCCCAATTTTAAGGATAGTAATGATAATTCTCACCAAATTCCAAAGGGTTAGTTAAACATTCTAGGTATCTTTCCAAAGTTGATGAGTTTCTGTTTTGTACAAAATCTGTATGCTTCCCATCCTTTTAAAATATGTGCAGAGCTGAAGACAAACCATCATTGCCCTATAATAAAGACTGTTGTACTCACCATCAGAAATACTGTAATTTACGTAATAATCATAGATCTAACAATATGCTATCAGCTGCCCTTAAAACGCTTACTTCTATCATAACTCTTAGGATAGATATATGCACCAAGACAATACATTAGTGATTTATATCAGTAGTCTAGATTACATTTTAGTAGCATTATAGCCCATGTATTAATCATAATGAAAAATTTAATAAAGGCACCATTGCAAAATAAATCAATGGTACAACACTTGGAATAGGTCAAAATAATCACTAAAGGTTGTGTAATGCAAAAGAAGGGAATATATGAATAAAGAGTGTTTAAATAGGACGAATTGCGTGTCATGTGCCTTCTGGTTCCTGATTGCAGCCAAATCTGTGACAAATATCACCTACGAATTAAAATGTTGTTGGCATTTGCCTTACATCAAAACTATAATCTTAAAGTTTACGGTGAATTAATTGAAGACGATTGTCTGAAATTCTAATGGCAAGTCGTTATCAATAGAGTTTAACCATCTCGGGAGTGAAACAGTTGTCACCAATGACATCGTATTAGACAGCAGAACGGTTACTATAGGAAATGCTTATCATTATATTTCAAACCTTTAAGCCCTAGGTTCGATTCCTTGTGAGGCGATTAGTCTTCAATTCTGAAGAGTATCATACTAGAATGAGACAGTATTAATATTATCATTGTGACTAAACGAACTTTATTGTACATACAGCTACCCATATATATATATATATATATATATATATATATATATATATATATATATATATATATCTGTATTCAGTTTTTTTCCTTTCATACAAATTTAATTTATTTATTTGTTCTCATGAAGAAAATCAATTAAAACATTTACAATCCTCTAGAGAACTACTTTAATTAGTGAATTATTCTTTTATTTTTATTTCGGTATAACTATTATTTCTTTTACAATAAATATACAAAATGATCACATTAAAGTTCTCGTTAATATACAAACACATAATAATAAGAAAAAGACATTTTGATTAGTTTATTAATAATTAAACTTGAATTAAAAATGATCTACACTACTCATTTTAGTTTATTGGTTGATTTACTTTTTATTTTTCCTCATAATCAAATTACTTACAATGGATGTAAATAATTATCAATGAAATGCTGATAAATACAAAAATCTCTTCTTATTATTATGACTGATTAACGGTTGTTTTTTTAATTTGTATCTTTTTAATGATAAAATACACGTGAATTATTTTTGACAAATTGTATGTGATTAGTTTATTGAATATAAACAAAAGATGAGTTGATTGAAGTTAGAACACCTTGGAGAATCTCAAAGCATTGGAAGCGTTCGTGTGTGTGTGTGACTGAAGATTTTGGATTTGAATCTTGTGAACGGAATTGTGGATGCTCACTTTTGATGAGTCCTATACTAGGACGAAACAGCCATCTAATGCTTCCAGGTTTTACATAATGGTCTAGTTTCAATCGACTTATGATTTTAACTATTAAATACTTCGACGCCTAACTAAAGCTCGTGAAGAGCAGACTAGAGAAAATCAGGCTGGTTTTCGACCTGGACGTGGTTGTAAAGACCAGATATTCACATTACGTCAGGTTCTAGGACATAGACATACGTTCAGACGCTACACAATGGTAGTATTTCTCGACCTTAAGGCAGCATTCGACTCTGTTGATCGTGGTGTTTTGTGGCAGTGTTTGTCACTGAAAGGAGTACCAAAGAAGTACATTAACCTTATAAAGGCTCTCTACTCGAACACAACTGATCGAGTGAGAGCTTATGGCGAATTGTCATCAGAATTGATTACCTCAAGTGGTGTTCGTCAAGGCTGTCCACTCTCTCCATTCTTGTTCAACTTTGTCGTTGATGTGCTTTTAGAGATAACACTTTCCTCGTCTACATTTCCAGGGGTTGAACTTTCACCGGAAGATTCATTTGTTGACTTGGGATCTGCTGATGACATAGTTTTATTTGGTGAAGACGCTGACAAAATGCAGAGTCTTCTGACCACTTAAAGCAACAATGCAAGTATGTTCGGGATGCGATTCTCTCCCTCGAAATGCGAAATGTTGCTTCAGGATTGGTTTGCATTGACACCCGAACTAATGATAAGGAGTGAAGTAATTGAGCGTGTCGATCGCTTCACTTATCTTGGAAGTCTGATCAGCCCTTGTGGTCTGGTGTGTGACAAAATCTCAGCACGGATGCAGAAGGCTCGACTAGCTTTCACCAACTTGCGTCATTTATGGCGTAGGCGAGATATCCGTCTATCAACCAAAGGACGGGTTTACTGCGCAGCAGTTCATTCCGTCCTACTTTATGTCAGTGAAACATGGCCGGTAAGAGTAGAGGACATCCGTAGGTTACTAGTATTTGATCATAGGTGTCTTCGAAACATTGCTCGTATATCCTGGGACCATCGAGTAAGTAACGCAGTTGTTAGGAAACGGGTACTATTTAAGAATGGCAAATCAATCGATGTAGTGGAACTTCATTAGTTGAGATGGCTGAGACACGTGTTACGTATGCCCAACGACCGACTGCCTCGACGTTCGATGTTCAGTGGTATAGGAGTAGGTTGGAAGAAAGGTAGGGGCGGCCAGATCAAAACATGGCACAAGTCCATGAAGTCACTGACAAGTGGACTGAGCCATGTTGGTAGGTGTAGACTACCTGGTTGGGGACCGCGAGATGATAGGAACCGATAGTTAGAGACCCTGAATGACATGACTCAAAATCGTTTGCAATGGCGCAGGTGCATCCACTCTTTGTGTTCTCCCAACTTTTGATCTCCTTATTCCTCCTTGTCTCTTTTTTTCTCTTTCCAAATTTATTTCGCTGTATTATACTCTTTAAATAACATCTCCAAACACTAGTTTTCCCGATTACTGCTTATACTCTTATTACCTCTACCACTACGGGATTTGAATCGACAAGTGCATCTCTGTGCTAATGTGGTATGGCAACTCAAACTGATGTACATGCGTACGAAGTTCTACGTTGTTACTGACTGACTGAAATTATTACAATGTTGACAAAATCCCCTTCTGATAATAAACAATATGTATACTAATATTGAAGTCAGTAGTTGATAGATACGAATAATCCTACAGAAGATATGTACTCAGTTTTCATGTGTTTTTATACTTTCATTTTCTTATTCGTCATAATATTTCTAGTAAATATTAAAATTTATGTCATAACTAATTGAATTTGAAAACATTTCTATTTCAAACAAATTACACGATACAAATTATATTGAAGGAATTTTTCATATACATTTTTTGTATAGTGTATTATTCTTCGTTTTACATATACTAAAACCATAGCTTTTTTTAATTCATTTTTGAGGTATAGATTTTGACGGCACTAGATGATGATAAACATTTCACTGGTGAGCATTGGTGTTTTCAAGATCTCACAGTATAGAAAACAATGACCTGCAGGACTAATTTATCAGTAGTTAACTGTCTCGTCAGAATTTTCCAATTTCGATCCCTACTGGCACTGTAGGTAAACATTGACGAGGAGCCCTATACTAGAAAAAAAACTGTCTACTCCCTTCTGATATTTTGTGTTACCTCGACTGACTTCAGTTGATGCAAATGATCGACTTTAATCTAAAATGATTTTCACAAACTTCACTGTAAAACTTTGGTTGTTTGGAGATACTATTCAAGCAAATACCTATTGTCGGTAATTACACAACAGGTTTTGGCATTAAAATAAGGATTATTTATTTAGAATATTATGAGTGCATGTACTTTGAATTGGAGAAGAATAATGATGATACTTATTATCATAAAAGACTCATGCATATGTTTATGAAGTCATTATTAGTAATGTGAGAAAAATCAGCAACGATAGGACCTACAGGTTAACCCATTACTATAATTTTGCTATAATATTTGTCATTAAAGACAAAATGAACGTTGGTTGTGCATTTCAAGAGTAATCATTTGAGACTTATCTCTGAAATTCCAATAATAATAATAACAACTACAATAACATATTATAGATAGATTGTTGGAATAGCGATGAGTTCACATCCAGGTCCAATTCTTGCTGATTTATCTCCGCAAAACTAGCAAATGAATTTCTCACGGATATTATTGATAATCTTGAGTTTTACTGAAAATTTTATTATCGTTGATCAGAACACTGGAAAACAAGAACTCTTAACACAATTTAGCAATATGTACTTAGCAATCACATATGTGAGGAG